GAATTTGCAATTTAAAATCTAGCCGTAAGGAATGCCAAAATTACCCTGAAATGTCTGAGTGGATATTTAGTGGATATTCAGATTCAAATCCTTTCCATTTCTTATTTCCTCGGATCACTGTTTCCCAGTCTCTTGTTTTTTCACTTCTTTCACAATAATCACTATTCATACTACAAAAAAGCTTCATTTAAATTCAAAATCAAACTCTAGCACCAATACCAATTAATCACAGAAATAATTAATCAGTTGAATATTTTTGTAAGTATATCTGAGGAGAGAAACAACTCAGCTTTATTTAAACAGTTATGGTTTAAGCCAGAAATAAAAAGAGGAAGAGAAATAAATGATTTACCCAGCACTGATCCCAGGATGATGCCGATCCCCAGGGCTTTGCTCAGGACAATCTTCAGACATGGTACTGGTTAAAAAAAAAAAAACACAACAAAACAAAGAGGAATAAAATACGTGAACACAGCAGATAGAGAGGAGATGATCATTCATTTGATTTGACCTAGAATCATCCAGATAAACAAACTGCAGTAAACGAAACTGGATTAAATGAAAGTTGGTCTCTGTTTGGGTTAGAGCTGCTCCATATGGACCAAGATGATCTCTTCTGAATTTGCCCCACAGAACATAAAGTGAAAAGCAAGATGAATTCATGTTGTAGCAGAACACAGTTCACGACATCACAACCCTGCAGGCCTGGTTCCACTTCATCGCGCATCCAAACGCAGTCCTGGAAAGAAGTAGGGACAGGCCAACATCGCCCTCTTCTGGTCAAATGGTAGAGGGATGCTGGGTTGAAAACGGTTTTGGTAAAGACGAAAGTGAACAAGTGATGAAAATGATTAAAGTGTCGAAAGTGTCTGGCATCATGCCGCCCCGTCTGGCTTCTGGATGGAGGCACAGAAGGAGTTGATTGCCAGATTAGATGGAGTGAAAATGAATAAATGATGGAGAGATGAATCCAAACCCAACAGTTTTTCTTCAACGAGAAGCAGAGCCTGCATCCATCTGAGAAAGTACTCCCCCAATCTTGCAGAAGGAAAGGCGTGCACGTTTCTGAATATGAAGAAAGTTGTTTAAAAAAAACCCTCATTTTTACTCCATTTAGTATGTATTAATAGTTTAGGTGTAACTGATTCAAGGCAGGAAAAGTCTGGTTTGATATAATGTCAGAGAGAAGACCCATTAGTCTTTTCATACAGAGTGTGAAATATCTGGTTTTAACAGTATTTCAATTCATTCCTAAACTGCTGCAGTCCGGAGCGTTGTGACATGGGTTTCCTGTTGAGCAGCTTTCACTGAATGTTCCTGTAACTGAATGAGGAACTTTTTCTTCTTCTTTTTCTTCTTCCAAAGCGTTTTCTGGCAGTTTCCAAACTGTGTATTACCTCTATCAACTGGATGTAGATGTCATTCAGAAATTATTTGTATACATCTTCAAATCTTCAAATAACAAAATTCTAGACATATTTATACACTCGCATGTAAACTAAATCCTCTCAGCTAATTTTGTATTTTAAAAATATTTAATAATATCATATGATTGCTGCTTCCCTAATAAATTAGCCATATTTACTGAACTCCTGAGCATTAAAATCTCCACATAAAATATTTCTTCCATTCTCCTTCACAAAAATACTAGCAAGTCTTTCTCTACTTATCTTTTTACAGGGGTTAGAAAAATGTATTATATTAAACTTTGATTTACTGATCCATACCTCAACCACTGCAACTTCTATTTCTTCATTTAAATTAAAAACTTTATAACTAATACCCTGCTGAACAAATATAGCAACACTTCCTCCAACATTTGGATTTTTATATTTACGTAATGCTACATTAAGTATAAAATCAAGTGATGGTTTTAACTAGGTTTAATGAATACAGACTATATGTGGTTTAACATTCTGTCTTTCAATAAAATATTTAAACTCTTGGCCAATAGCAATTAAGCTTCTTGCATTCCAATGCATTATGGATATAACCATCAAATTTAATCATTACTGGACTGTTGACTTTCATTTATCCCAGTTGTTAAAACTTCACTGATTGACTCTAAAGACAAGTCTTCCATCTCAAGGTATTTTTCTGCTGCTTTAATTATTATTTTTAATTTGCTCTGTTCTACTATCTGTCTGGGCTGAACAATTGATCACAACACATTTCTTCTTCTCCACAATCATTGTATTTTCTATGGATCTTTGACTCTTCAGTTGATCTGTTTTTTTTTAAATGGAGTTTGAGGCACAGAAATGCTGCTAGCATTAACATTTAAAGTACTTACCTTTTTAACTGCATCCGCATTGGTAACTTTTTCCTTTACTCGTACATTTTCTACCTGCACTGCTCTTTTATGAGCTTCACATCCTTTAAATGCAGCACTATGTTCCCCACCACAATGACATCATTTTAACTTAGTTCCTTCAGAACATTTCCCAAACTCATGCTCCCCTCCACACCTAGCACACCTGGCTTTAGCTCTGCAAGCAGCAGCAATATGTCCAAACCTTTGACATTTGTAGCATCTGGTTGGTGAAGGAACGTATTGCCTTATTGTAGAACTGACATATCCAATCATCACTTTTTCAGGTAATCTCTCCTCTTCCAGGACTAAAAGAACTGATTTACTAGGACTTTTTTCTTGTAACAAACAAATGCTTCACTTTAATCAGCTCCTTTCACATAATCTTTAATCTCTTCCTCCATCAGATCAGTCGACACTCCAGCTATTCCTCCCATGACTTTTCCTCTGTCCAGCCATATGTGTGGCTTGATTGTTTTTCCCAATAATGTTTTGCATCTCATTAGTCCCCTGCACCTGATCTCCAATAGATGACCATCTCTTAACTTTCTATTTTATATATTGCCTCGTTTATTCTCAAAGGATTCAAAGCACATGGGTTCTGGAATCTAAGAATCACTTTAATTTCATTTGCTTTATCTTCCTCTCTTTTTTCTTCATCAGATTCAAATCCTTTCCATTTCTTATTTCCTCGGTTCACTGTTTGCCAGTCTCTTGTTTTTTCACTTCTTTCATAATAATCACTATTCATACTACAATTATCTGAGTCATCTTATTCTTCATTCATCCATCGCAGTTCCTTGTTTAAAGTGATCTACAATTAACTCCAAATTGCACCTCCGTCATTTTAACCAACAAACGCTTCAGAGATCGCCCTCCGTCAAGCCACGCGTCTCATCCGCGGACAGAGCTCTCACTCTGCTGCAATTTCCTGGAACCAAAGTCTCTCCAAACGAGGAACTTGACTGGATGTGTGGCGTTTAAACAAAAGCACGAACAGACGAGGCAATAAATCCCGGAAGACCTCACACCTAATTGCCACCGTCATCACGAGACACCTTGGACCGACCGCAGGAAATGACGAAACCGACCACTCACCGTCCAGAAAGTCGAAATCCAGAAAGAATTTATGGTAGCAATGTTCTGGCATAAAATATGCCACTAGTATTCCCCTAAAAGGATCCATGAATGACTCCCCTCTCGGACAATCTGACGTATCTGCCGTGTTCGATGACGTTGCTCTTGACTGTGTTACGGTCACAAGTCCCCGGCAGTTTCAGTGAAACACAAAGGTTCCGCTTGAACTTCTCGTCCATATTAAACAGTCGTTTTAATGTAAATGTGCCAACTTAAAAAAGAAAGCGAAAAAGATTGAATTGTGACCAATGAATAGAATTATAATTAGCTTATTATAATTTAGCCTGGCTTATTTTGTGGGGCAGAGTAAACAAGCTTTTGTTTATGTATGAATACAAAAACAAACCACTACGTAACTTTTCAAATAACATAACCATTATTATTAATTCATAAATAAATAATAAGGATGTAAAGAGTGACATAAACATGTTGCAGAAATCTAAGAATCTAGTGTTTCCAAATCTCTGAAGTCTATTTATTTAAATGCATAATCAATCTACTCAAGTAAGAATAGCAATAACAATATAATTCAAATAAAAAAAAGAGCACAGTGCAGTAAAACTACTAATTTCCCCCAAACAGTTTCTCAATAAATGTAACCAGTACTACCTACTTTTGAACATGGATATATTGGCATTAGTTAGTCATCGTTTTGCCAACATTACCTGCATCCAACAGCAATACTCGACTCACTCTGTCAGCCTGGCGGGGGGATGTGCAAAGTTCTTTGCCTTTTGTTGGTTTGCTGCCATAATTCTAACACACATACCTGCAGATCTGCACAGCATGAGCAGCAGCATGTCTCTGTCAGCAGTATATATGTTGACATGAATCAATATCGATTCCTCAGTTTTGATTCAATATAAAATCAACACAAACGCACAGTTGAATGATGATAAATTCAACACTGATATAGTGCAAGTTATAACTGTTGACTAAACATGTAAGTCACCAAACACTTTTTCAATGTCAAGCTTCAACATGGATCCAACGTTTCTGTTTGTCCACATTTTGCTATCTGGAAATGCTCTCATCCAAGAGCCCAAAGAGAGCAGCACAGGGCAAATCAACATTCAATCAACATTGATTAGACATTGGGAATTCAATCGTAATATAAAATGATAACCGCAGACTTTGACGTCATTGGTGTTACTCAAAGCTCTTTCAATGCACAAAGTAAAACAAACTGAAATAAACACACATAACACATTTTGAGCTATTTTTTTACTCATTTTAATTTATCACACATGTGCCACAGTCAGTCCTTTGTTTTCGTCAAACAGCAGTTGTTTATAAAAAAAAATAAAAATAAAAGCCTATTGTGGTTCTGACGTTAGCTTTTAGTCTTATCTGGAAGCTAAATGTTAATGTTAGCTGGAAAACATTTCCAGCAAAAACAATCTGGAGTTATCCATATCATCTCAACAAAACGCTAAAAAGTTAACCATTAAAACTCTTCAGACGTTTGCAGAGGGTTTTATTCAGTTGCATGTCTGGACCGAAAGAGGGCAGCATCCCACCACAGATCAGTCCTTGTAAAGAAGAAGAAGCGTCCATCCTGCGAGTCGCAGGCAGCAGTTTGGCGTGTTTTTGCTGGAAGTCGTTTGAATTTGAGGGTCAGATGGCCGCAGGGTGTGATCGGTACCAGAGAGTGTGTTTGTCAGAGACTCAGCTGGACTTCCCGGGACAGCCGTACTCTGTGTCCGTCCTTAAAGTTGGTTACTGCGTCCCTCAGTCTGATGGGTCGTTTAGAGCCGACGGGACTATCACCCTCATAAGGGGCGTCATGGACATTCTGGTGGACACCGGGGGCCCGTGGGACCGGGAGTTCCTCCTCCAGTCACTAAAGCGAAGAGGCCTGGAGCCCGGGGACATACAGCTGGTGGTGGGGACTCACGGACATTCAGATCACATTGGAAATCTGAATCTCTTCCCTTCTGCATTGACTATAGTGGGATATGATATCAGTGAGGGGGACATTTACCGTCCCAACCAGCTGGCAGAGGGACATGTCTACTCAGTGGATGATCATGTAAGGATCACATCGCCTGCAACACTTTATTGAAACTTCACCAAAACAGTCTGAGTGTGCGACTGATGCTTCTGGTTGATTCTTTGGAAAGATTCACGTGGTGCGTTTCATTGCCCTAGGAAATCTTAACTAACAACCCTGGAAGTCAGAAAACCGCCAACTTTCACCTTAAAACACAACAGCGATGATGTGACTATTGCGGAAATAATCTGTCATTTGATACTTCTAAAAGCTCTCTTTAAATCACTAACACACAGCTCCACAACTTGTGTCCGTGAAAAGGTTACAGACACGCAACGGTCCTCCGTTAGTTGCTTGAATTGCTAATAGTTCTTAAACTCCTTAGAATTTTTATTGTATAAAGCTGTCTTTTTTCTTTTCTTTTTCTTATTCTGATTTAGCATCAGAGTTGATATTAGATCAGTTGGACTATCTGGACTATCCGGTTCTGGTCCGACTGTGCAACTGTGTGCTCAGCAGCAATTCACAACATATGTGAAAAACAAACAAAAAACAAACAATTCAATCCAATTATACATCCAATCTTAATTATCAAACCATGCAGTCAAGTGCAATTTTTATTAAAAGTGGTTCCGACTATTTCTGTCTAAGGAAATAATCAGTGGATTCTGCAAGTTGGCTGCAAAACAGACAAGCAGAATCTCAAAGTTTATTTCTAGATAAGTGATTTTGTTTGTGGAAACTTTCTTTCAGCCAGCTCACTGGCCAAGAGAAGCTTTGCTGCTCAACGCCCTTCAAAGAGAAAGCTGTAGTCACTCTGACAGCTCAGTAAAATGGCTGTAGACCCGGGGAAAGAAAATGTAACTCCTCTGAAACATAAACAGCACAGTTAGGATGGACAGGATGCCATTCCTGAATTTCAGTGTTAACTTCTCCAAAACCAATGTTTAAATGTCGAATTTATTTATAGAGCACAGATCTAATCTGGAAAAGTAGATTATTCCATTGAATAGGAGCAGCAACGAAGAAGGCCCAATCTCCTTTTCTCTTAAGCCGAGTCCGAGGAACATTTGTAGTGGGAACATTAAAAAAAGAAAAAGCAGAATAACTAATCACCAGGAGGTGTTTCAGGTTTTAGTTTTGTCTTGTAAGTTCACATGGAATGAATGAACCAGGCAGGGAGTGAATTGTTTTACCAAGCAAACAACAACAAAAAAACATTCTGTAAAATAGCGAGATATATACAAAAAGTTTAGAATCTTATGAACAAGTTGCAGCATTTACCTTCATTCTGAACTGCAATATGTTTTGAACAAATTTGCTATGAATAATGAAATAATTGGACCTAAGGGCCACGTGGTATATCCCCAAAATACTGTCCCGTGAGATCAAGTGGCAGTTCTGTGTTTTTATGTCATTCATTGTTCCTGATGATTTCCACCCCTTTTACTTTGAGCATCACAGTGAAATCATCAGGAATCAGAACAATAATCAAAGTATCACTCACTGTGAAATGGATTAAAGAAAATCATGTGTGAACCATCTCTATGAAGGCTGTTAAATTCGGTGTATCTGGTGTTCATCCAGTCTTCCTCCATCACAGGTGTGTGTCGTTCCCACCCCGGGCCACACAGGACAAGACGTCAGCGTCCAGGTGGAGGGGACATCTGTTGGGACTGTCCTCGTTGCAGGGGACTTATTTGAGTGCTGGTCTGATGACAACAGCTGGAAGGATTTGAGTATGAACAGTGCAGTGCAGGAAGTCAGTCGACAGAAGGCTCTGAATTCTGCTGATGTCATCATACCGGGCCATGGACTTCCTTTCAGAGTTCTCAGAACCTGATTATATCAAAATGATGTGTTGATGTCGCTTGGCTTATTTACATCTTATCTAGGAGCGTCATGTATTATTATCCCACTGCCAGAGCTTTATTGAGTTAATTCAGTCTAAGTTAATGCTGAGTAATCCTACTGATTAGCACATGTTCGCACACGAGGAGTGATCTTTCCACTTTATGTTTATGATTGGTAAAAGTACACTATTTTCAAAGTTTGATGTTTTGAACTCCTTTGAAAATTTCTTCATATGTGCTACCTGAAAATAAACATTATTTCCATCAACCTTTTGAAAGGTTACTGCAATTCTGTGAACGTTGATGGTTGGCAAACATGACATGGTAAGCTGAGTCTGAACGAATGGCCAGATGATTGATTAAAATATGAATGTCATGCTACCAAAAATTCTTAATCGATTTCTAGTACGAATGTGGGGCATCACTGTGTTTCTTTGTGAATAAATAAAATTATGGTTTTAATTCTGAGGTCAGAGGTCGTGTCAGGACTCATCAATCATTTTCCACTAAGGCTTAAAACCTAACCTAAAAGGGGAAATCGTGTCCAAAGAGCACTTGGCATGAATGATCACTTTTTTTCATTTTCATTAGTTCATTAGATTGTTTTAATCTTGTTTTCTGTGGTGTGAATTTGCCGCCGTTGAGTCCTTTTCCTTTTTTTGTTTTCTTTTTTGTACGTGTTTTATTAAGAGCTTTAAAAAATGGCTCTGAGAAACCCTAAAGTATCAACAATTTAATGTCATTAATGCATTCACTTATCTAGAAGTGTGATGTAATTTTCATGCTTGTTTTTATAATGTGTTTCAGCATCAACCTGCCAGTGAGACATGGAAATGTTTGTTGATACATATTGTTCCATTTTTAAACATAAACTTGAACTCATAGGATGAACATGTTATACCATATACAACATTTTAATCTGAAATATAGTCTAACCATATTCTGAATTCAGAAGAGGAACTGATGAAATGATAGAATGTGTTTGCATGTCTGTCTCTGTACCACGTTGTGGGTGTGTCTGGATCAATATGTCTTACTGCCGTCAGAGACATATTGCCAGTGGAAACTCATGACTTAAGCGTCATGAGTTTGGCTCACCCTTGAAACCTATAACTCTTACATAATCTGATTGGAGTCAAATAGAAAGAACTGAATCAGAGGTGGAGCTCTATCTAAACCCTCAGCACGTTATCATTGTTTGATTACTGGGTTTAATGGAATATATCTCGAGAACTTTCCGTCATGAATGAATATCAGTATGTTTCTGAATAAAGGCTTTAAAACAAGTTTGTGTGATTTAAAAAATCTCACATTTAATCACCATCAGCTTCATGGTGGTGTGGTGTGTAATGAGCTGCTATACATGTGATATGTTTTATTATAGATGCTGCTCAAATATACATATGCTGACTGTACGCATCACTGAGTTCATCAGCTGCGTATTAGAATACGCAAGAAGTCTGAGTCCCATTGAAGTCCCCTCCCAGGACAATATCCAAAGATATTGAATACTCTGAGTACTCTGAATAGTAATCAGATTACTGCAAGTTTACTTGCAAGGTGGGTGCAAGTTGACTGCCACCCAGTGTGCACCTGATCACAATGTTGGATCCACATGAAGGAGGTGTCCTGAAACTCCTTCATGGAATGTGTTTGGCTCAGCCTGGCTGAATCCCAGACCACTGGAAGGTGTTTTCCACCAGCTTGGTTTGGAACCTCTTCCGTTTCCCAAACCGGTTTTGCATGTTCTCACAGAACAAAAGCAGTCCCACTGTGATTTAACTTGGGCACCACAGAATAGCTGGTTTTTCTATACTAACCATGACATCATCATCATCATCATCATCATCATCATCATCATCATCATCATCATCATCATCATCATCATCATCATCATCATCATCATCATCATCATCAATGAAACAGCAAAGAAAACTGGCTGCAAAGAATGTGCAGCAGTCCGTTTAGGAAGATACATGAAAGAAACCCCAAACAGTAATACATTCAACTCCTCCATTTTGCTTCTATCTTTGTATAACCTATTGATGATACATCCTTGGTTGCCAAAACTGATGGACATCAGAGTTGGCTCTTAACAAAGCACCAATGTTGAAGGCTGACCAACTGAACCAAAGGTTCTTTGTGTGGAAACATAGCATAGGTGCTTGCTGACAAAGCCCCTGCCCTAAGCCTGGCTCTACAAGGCTGCTCCCGTCTGTCTGATCTGGGGAAAGATTAGCTGTTTCTTGTGGCCAGCCATTTCACCGGACTGCTCTTAGTCTGACCTCTCCCCTGAAACCGCCACATCATTCCCCACCAAGAGCTAACACTCCAGATAACAATCCTTCACCACATTAAGATGGCTCTTCAATGCAGGGCCAACATAACCAGCTGAAAGAAAATAAAACAAAGCTTTCTAATACACCACCACACTTTCTATGTTCCACTGGAATGCTTTGACTCAGTCAATGTTCTGTGTTACATAATGTACGTGACCTGAGAAAGTTATCGTCAAATACTCAGCATACCAACAGTTGTAAAACATTTCTGACATTTTAATTTGGGTTCTACGGAATAGCTGTCTAAACCATGATGTCACCAGTGGACCGGCGATGCCCACCATTTTAGTTATCACCATTTTAGTTGTTTTAAGATTTTGGAGAGGACCCTGGTTTCCATTCTCTAAACTCGACAAAATAATAACCACCAATATTAAAAACAAACTTCAGTGGAAAATGTGATGATGGTGCAGCGTTTCTACATCACAATAAAGATGACAACAACCTCAGGGAAAGCTTTAACCTCAGTGAAACCTTCTGTTGTATACTTGGGCACTATTTTTTATCTATTGAGGAATCACAATGTTGTACAATGTGTGGCTGAAGTCCATCAATTGATAAGATAAATAAATGCCGTCATTGGCACTTATAGAGTAGGACAAGGTTGTTTTTTTATCAGTGTCCTGTAATTCTGATAACAGACAGTGGCGTGTAGCTCTCACTCAGCCATTCTGAGATCACCACTGACCATAGCACAAAGCACACAACTAAAAATATTAAACCTCAAAACCTGTTAAAATGTTTGAACATCCACAACTCAAAATGACCACCAGCGAAGAATAAAGCACTAATATTCAAAGTGTATTATTAATGAACATCTTCTAAAACATGAACAGCTTGCAGTGTTTTATTTATCTTTTTAATTCTATGTGACTCAAAGACACTGAATTATTGTGCCTAATGAGCCATATTTTAATGGAAACTTATTTCCACCCACACAATCAGGCAAATCACGGATTGGTCATAATTCAGATGATCATTAACTTGTGTTTCCTTATCTCCTGTTGCTCCACCTTTAACTGCTCCACCCTTAGTGACATATTTAAGGATATCATCAATTTCCACCAGTTGCATCTGATCACTGAAGCGGTTTGGAATTTAGTTAAGTATTTGATCAACCGGATCTGTACAAAACAACAGATTTCTTCTGTTTAAGGACAGCTTCTCCATCCACCAGGCAAAATGTGCACAGGGAAATGCTCCAAGGTTATTGCCATCCCTCTCTATGTACTGGCTCTGCTGTCAGTCATCTGCAACATCATGCTCTTCTTCCCTGACTTCACCACTGAGTATGCAAGTGCAGACAGCGAAAGTGAGCCAAAGCTCACAGACGAAGTGAAATATATGGGAGGCTTTATCGGAGGAGGAATCATGGTGAGTAGAGCTCTGCAGTTTACCTGGTATGTTGTAGATGGAATGATTTTTTTTAAAGATTTGAGCTGAGGAATGACGGGCAGAGCAGTGTGGTTTACCTTCATGACATCCAGAATGATTCTTTAGCCAGGTGGGCCTGCAGGAGTCAAGCCAAATAAGGAGAACTTGATTATCAGGAACGTTCGTGCCTCATTCTTTTTCTTGACATGCTCAACTTTCAGTCTCTTGGGACTGAAAGTTGGATTTTTTTAAAGAGTTGATTGTTTTATTGTTACAAAGAGATTTAAAGATATTAATACCCTTTTTGCAGATTTTTTTTTTGTTGAGAGGATTGTCAAGCAAATTCCAGCTAGTCAAAAAAACTGGCAGTAGTCTAACTGCGAGCAATAAAACTACTTTATGGTGTGATTTAAAGACACACCCGCTGGTAACAGTACTCCTATTATGAATGACAGATTTGCAGAGCTGCACTAACAAAAATATCTTCAGACTGAAAATGAATACTTAACCTTCTAACATTTGTCCAGGTTCCCTGCAGTTTTCTGTAGTAATTTCTCTATTTTTTTGTTACAATGTGAATTTTTCGCAGCTCGGTGTTTGGACAGACATCACATAACTGACGTTTCTCTCCCTGTGCCCTCTTGTCTTTCTTTTTTTTATCTCAAAGATCCTTATTCCTGCCATTCACATTCATCTGACAAGCACAAAGGGCTGCTGCGCCAACCGCTGTGGGGTGAGTCGCACTTGTGGCACTGATTAATTATATCGGGCTGTCACTCTGTTGATCAGCAGTGATGAGGGCCAGACTGCATGGTGGGACAAGCAGGACGAGTTGACCTAAGATTATCTATTAATACTATAACTCTGTTGTAGCAGCAAGTGAAGGCTGATACTTGTTAATGCATTTTCTGGATCACATGATTTTGTTTTTTTCATTTAGGACAAAAAGATTTGTTAAATTTAAATTTAACAAATTAAACAATTACATTTTAAATAGTTTTAACTTCCTTTAGTCAGACCACCAATATCAAAGAGCTTATCTCTTCTGATTCTACCACTTGAGGTTAATCAGTCCAAAAAGAAGGAAGCCAGAATCTTTTACTCTTTGCTCATAAGACTTATAGCCATGTTAAAAATGTTTGTTGTGATTGAAACATGAAAAGTGAATCAATGGATTTATGTCGCAATTACGCATATTGTTTTTGTACTAATTGTTAAAAAATGCTAAAGTTTGGTGCTCTGGTTCAGTAAATGAAGTTAAGCTTGAGACATTTTTGACCAGAACGTCAAAATATCCAGAATGAAGAAAAAATTAACAGCCAAAGAAATTTATCTGGTGTCCTTTTATAAGCTTCAGGACATTTGTTATAACAAACTAATGCAGTTCAAAGATGATTCAGTCCCACAATAAAGCATGAATTGCAACCTCTACTGGACCCGGACCGATCCAACAAAGTAGCCTAATACCTGTCAGCAGTTTTAAAACACACAGGCTGTATTGAGCTCGGTAACTGTGCCAGTGGAGTGTTAATTTGACTTTATTAAGATGAAATAAATGCTTGGACGGCTCCCAGTGTGGACTTTTAAATGATCAACTCACTTCAGTCCCAGCTGGCTGCTCCTGAACTCATCTGGTCTTCTGTAGGTTCCAACAGTCCAAACGTTTTAAATGGCTGCATTGTCATCATTTGTTCTGACAGATCTAAAATGAACACTTTACTATTAGGACAGTCTTTGTGCTGTGTGCCATGCCTTTAGTTTTATGACTATAGAGCCATGATCTCACCTTGTCTTGTGTTCTGTGTGCAGATGTTCCTGTCCATTGGGTTTGCTGCGCTTGGTGTGGCAGGAGCCATTTACAGTCTGGCCGTTGCAGCTGTGGGTCTTCAAAATGGGCCAGTTTGTCGTTATGTGGCAGATAATGGCGCTGAAGTGTGGGGAAGACCCTTTTTGAACACGTATGTAGATTTACCTGAAACTACCATGAGAGGAGGATTCATTGAATAATTATGTTTTAAATATTTGCTATTTTTCCTCTTTTGTGATAATGCAACCCTCTTTTCTTCCTTTTAGTTCTGGAAACTATCTGGGTCACAAGGACACTTGGGACAGGTGTTTGAAACCAGAGAATGTGGTCGAATTCAACTTGGGGCTGTTCTCCACTCTGCTGGTGGCCGCCTCCCTGGAGGCCGTCCTCTGTGCCTTCCAGATGATCAACGGACTGTTCGGCTGTATCTGTGGAACCTGCTCCAATAAGGATGAGGATGTAAGCCCGTAGAGTCCAGTTTGTTCTTTTTTACTGACTAGAAAACAGTATAAGAGGTTAGAGGTGAATTTGGAAGTCCTTTGCACCTTCTCTGCATGAAGGTGCTGCAGTACGATGTCTGATCTCTGCCTCTGTCTTCTCCACAGTAAAGCGAAGCAGATCAACTTCACACCATGACTTCTTGACGAAGACCTGACATAGATTTTTCACCATCATTGTCATCATTCTCTTTTCCATGATATTTAAGACAATAGTTTACGCCTATCTGGCAACACTACAGGTTTGCTGTTTGTGCTTTAAATGTGCTAACATGGATTCGTCAAGAGGATTGACTGGGATCACTGCTGATTGTTTCTTTTGTTTGCATTTCTTTAAAGATTAAAATGTCAAATTTAAACTCAGATTCATTATGTATTTGAGCTTGTAAAGTTGTTTTCAATGTTTTTGTAATAAAACTGTTAACACATCATATTTTTTCCTCCTCTTTATGTTTTGTTTCCAGTGAAATAACAACTGAACAGATCGGAAAATATAAAGTCGACTTTCCAGATGGTTTCGTATTCTCCTGTAAACACATCTGGAGCTTGGTCAAACTTTTATGAAAAATGTTGTGAGAGACGTTACATCGACTAGAAAGGAGATGTTGCTCCTTGGTACATGTATGATTTTATCACAACCATAAATTGTCAATGCAAAATTAAATTCAATGGAATAAAATCCGTAACATCTATTCATTATTTAAAAGACTTTAAATGCAAAAAATAAAAACAAACAAAAACTGACGTAAACTATCCAAGCAGCCAATGTGAAGAGAACAATCTAAAGACCAACGATCGTGGGCTGGAGGATGAATGTGATATTTAAAACAAATACTGAATAAGAAGATGCTGGAGGTTCGGTGTAGGTGCAATAATACGCTAAAAGATGAGTGTGTGAAGGAAACAGTATAAATCTACAGCCATTACAGAGGTGAATGCCAGCGTTGGGTCTGGAGGGAGGTAGCGAACACTGTTCCCAACACGGTTCCCAGCACTGTTCCCAGTCTAAAGGATGATTCAGGTTCAGTTCATGGAGCCACTAAGCAAACAGTTACATGATTCGAGTCAGTTATTAATGAAACTCTGGGAATCCTTGTTTATCTGAGCTGCTTTAGAGCTGGGATCGTCAAGGAAAGCAGCGGCCATCTTTGATTCATTTCACTTTGTGCCATTGTTGAAGAGTGTTGCTCTTCGGGCTGCCCCCTGCTGGCAGCCACTGAGTAAACACACGCAAGCCGGTCAAAGAAGAGAAAAGTTCAGCCCAAACCAGAACCTCCAGGTCTGCCTGCGGACTGCTGGCTGAATGTGAGTCCATGCTCACTAATTAGCAGCACATTTACTGAGTCAGATTAAGTTTGTCTCGTTTATTTATTTATAAGGTCTTCTTTGTCAACATATTATTATTATTATTGTTATTATTATTATTGTTATTTTATTATTATTATTATTATTATTATTATTATTATTATTATTATTATTATTTGGAATAATAATAATAATTGTGAATGACATATGTAATCTGCTCATCATCGCACATTTTACTTTGATTCATTTCACTTTGTGCTTCTGTTTTCCTCTTGGCATCATAGAAATCAGCTTGGAGCCTTTCCATCTGCTAAATGACTCCTAATGTAGGAAGTTGCAGGTCCTGGCTGGCTGCTTCCTCCTCAGTTTGAAATCTACTCGGTCAGAAGCAGATCAGGATCTAATTAGTGAACTCATCCTGCTGAGTGTTGATCTTCTGGTTCTGGGCTGGTTCCTGTGAAGGGCCACTATGCTAGACTGGTTTGGACTGGAAAGCACAGTGGAACTTGTTCCAGTTTTTTCCTATTTGACCTCCTCTTCAGCGTTCTGTTTGCCGGTTGATTCCTGGGTTTGTCCATGTTGCTGAACAGACATCTACCCAACAAGCGAGTGCAGAAAAACCACTACCTGTGTCGTGTTGGTAAGAGGTGGCTCAGTTAAATCTAAAATCAAACCCATTTTGTTTGCTCACGGTTTGATTTTCAAACTTATAGTTTGTGTGAAAAAGACCACTATTAGATCAGTGCTTGTGTGTGCAGCTTTTACATTTTTGTGTGTATTTTCCAAGGCGCGCTGTGATTTTAGATCAACAAGAAGCATGTCAGGACCTTGTATTGAAACATGTTTGAGCAGACTAAAGGCTTTGTTTTGAGTTTGTCCATATGGAGGAAAGAGTATTGTGCGGGTGGGCAGCTGGTGCTGTGCTTCTTAACCTCCTTAACTGGGTGATTAGCGGCTTTACTTCTAAATCTGGAGGCGGAACCTGTTCCTGTCCATGCTGAGCTGTGCTTTGTATTATCACTGTCCAGTTTTAATGAGCGTAATTAATTAGTTTCCTTCTGTGCCCTTGTTTTACTTCCCCTCATTAAAGCGGTGGAGCACAGACTAACTGTTATATTTTGCAGTTGATACCACATGATACCTTACTGGTGTTTCTGTCTTGTATTGTTTTAAATCAGTAAGGATCACACACACATCATTTCCAGGATTTAAATCGTAATGTTCTGTGTGGTTCTGTGGAGTGAAGCTCAGTTCAAACCACCACAGATCTGCAAGTTTTCACCAGATGGGCACAAATTGCAGGTATGCATATTTTCTTCTCGTAAATCAGACTGTGGATTCAGATGGTTTTGTAACCCTGTAAGACGTCGTGAACCTCGTAGGTAGATGCGTATGAAACGATCCGTGGTGTGGAAATCAGGGTTGGTAAATCAGAATGTTTTGTTGTGAACAAATGTTGCCTCCTTATAAACCAAAATGTCTGAGAATTTTATCTTCGTGCATCGACACGTAAGAATTTATAAGAGTGTTTTAAAAGATTTGCTCTCATAAAAATAATTACACAATGTTATCTGTTAAGGTCTGTTTACAGATACGCGGCAAAAAAACTCAGCTGACGACAAAAAGACAAAATGTATAAGACTGGAATGCTTAATTCTTAACCTGTCAAGTTTTTGGAATTTTTTCTTTTGCTTCTATAAGTTTCCTCTTGATTTTACAATTTACTTTAAGTTGAAAACCACTTTCATGGCAGCAGCTGCAGCTGTGAGCATAGATGGTTATATTTCTCTCTCTTTGTCTCCTGTTTCTGGACCATTTCTCTGCTCTGTTTTCGTTGTGTGAGGAGTGACTTCCTGTCCAGTTGAGGCAGAGGGAGTTCAACTGGGATCATTGATCGTCGTCTACAGTTTATTCCATTCTCCTAAACTGTCAAAAATAATTCCATCCTCTGTTCCCCAGTTTTTTTTCTCACTTTATGTCTTCCATCTTTCAGAATGTCTCCAGCAGCCCTGCCCCACCCCCTCCAGGACGTCTCCTCCGTCTTCTGACCGCATCGCCTGCAGCGTCATCACCTACCTCGGATCCTGTCGATCTGACTGAGTTAGATTCAGATCCTTCTCATGCTTTGAATCTATTCATCAAATAGTGTGAAAGCCAATTGTGTGCAACTGACTATTAAATACAGAGGCAACTGTTTTCTGATTCTTTCATTTGTGACTTCCAACACCAACTTTCATACATGTTAGTTCACCTCTGTCCTCTAGGTGGCGGCATTGTGCCTAGTTTTTCAGGTTCCACAAACAACAACCCTGAAACAGAAGAGATGAAGCCATGAAAGGGAGCTGACTAAGAGAACATCATGAATCCTCAGACCATCATGCTGACGCATGTAAGTCTGAACTCAAAATTCACCTGGTTTGAACAAAGATTTGGTAAATTTATTGTTTGTATTTTGCAACTTGTGAAAATGGTTAGAAAGTAAATGAGACATTATAAAGTTTTGCAATATTACCAGACACAACAAGTCAAATGCTCACTCAGGAGTGCTTTATGTTAAACACTGTTGGTCTTAAAAAATCACTAAACATAACATTTAAAAATCTGAAATGGTCAATAGCTTTTTGTTTGTTTGTTTGTTTGTTTTTATATTGAACTGCTTCTCAGATGCAACAACATTTAGTCAGTGGATGACTTCTCTAGACAGGTACTGTCTCCTACTGAATCACCAGAGCTCTCAATGAGGAAGCATTGTGTAGAATCTATGTTAAATGTTTATGTGCAGCCAAATGCCAAAAATGGTGCACGCCAAAAAAAATAAATAAAATAAATAAAATAAAATAAATTAAAAAAATAAGAAAACCATGGGGTCAAAGGTAAAGGCACAATTTCACTCAGGCAGAAATATGCTGGTGAGTGACGTGAATAGTAAAAACATCTCAGTTTTGGTAGTCACAGGAGTGAGCGCTCAACTCTATAGTCCATCAGGCCCGAAAAATGAGAATTTCCTTCCTGCTGTTCCCATTACCAAAGTCTCCCAGCCATGCCAATCCATCACACAGAATTATGCACATTGCCATTGTATTTACTTGTTCGGTCTGACTGCCTCACACCTTGTCACATTTTATGTATTAATATGTAGTTACCTTGTACCTGAATGTTCATAATTTTCATAAAGGAAAAATTGCTTTCTGGTGTGCATGCGCATGGTTTTATAAATCTGGATTATTTTTGGCATCTGACATTTTTGGCTTTTAGGCATCGGTATCCTTTGCATATAGTTCCTACACGATGTCTTATGATTAAGACCCCATGTCTGTGATTGTCTGTCTTCCTGTTTAAGTTCTTAGAATAATAGCATGTAATTGTTAAGTGTGTCATGTTCATGAGCTTTGGGTCATGACCGAAAGAATGAGGTCTTCGTTATTGTGGCTACAAGTGGCCAAAATGAGTTTTCTCTGTAGGGTGTCTGTAGGGTGAGTGGGCTTTCCCTTAGAGATCGGGTGAGAAGGTTAATCATCTGGGAGGGACTCAGAGTAGAGCCGGTGCTCCTCCATGTCGACAGAAACAGGTGGAGGTGGCTCAGATGCTTCCTGGATGCCTCCCTGGCGAGGTGTTCCAGGCACGTCCCAGTGGCAGGAAGCCCAAGGGAAGACCCAGGACATGCTGGAGAGACTGTTTCTTTTCGGGTCTGGAATGATTTGGGATTCCCCTGTAGGAGCTGGAACAAATGACTGGTACAGGGAAGACTGGGGCCAACCTACTTAAGTTGTTACCCCAGAACTTGACCCCAGATAAGTGGAAGAAGATGGATGGATGGATGGATGGATGGATGGATGGATGGATGGATGGATGGATGGATGGATGGATGGATGGATGGATGGATGGATGGATGGATGGATGGATGGATGGATGGATGGATGGATGGATGGATGGATGGATGGATAATTCTGTTACTTAGCAACACGAAACTGAGCCCAGTCCTTCACCTGGCAACTGAAGTGTGGAGCTCCACCCACTTCAGTACAAGACGATGCTAAATATATTCTTCTGGTTTAATTGCTGTACAATTGCTGCAGAAAAATGGAAATAGAATAATCATGATGTAGTTCTAAAACAGAACTACATTATGATTATAGTTCATGATGTGGTTCTGAACTCCCAAAACTTCCTTAAGGAGTTTTTGAGCTCCTTAAGTATCTCTTAAGGAGCTCAAAAACAGACAGAACTAGCTGGATGAAATCTCAATATCTGAGAATGACTTTGTGTATTACATTTAGTGAATGTGGTTTGCACAGTCCACAGAACACTATACTACACTATAACTTTTTCAAGAAATCATAGCGGATCTTTAATAGTAATTTCACATATAAAATCATTCAAACCAACCAATCAAAAGAAACTATTGGTGTCCTTTCTCTAGAAGACCCAGAACCAGTGTGACATTGTTGAGTTTTGTCAGTATGCTCCCCCATCGGCCAGTGGCGCATGGCCAAAAATGCTTGACTGCCGTTGGCTAATGCAGCATGACTGAGTCATGATTCTGTTGGCTGATTCTTCCTCTTCAACAGGGTAAACAGTTTGTTTCAGATGTTGCTGTACGTACATCCTCAAAATGAGACATTGCTGTCAAATTAAAGACTCAATGCATTTGACTATTCAAGAGTGATTACATGGAGGTGCATGAGGGAGCAACGAGAGGCATGAGGGATGAATCTAACTCCTGGTCCATTATGTCTGTGTTGTAACAGTGCTTCTTGGTAATGAATCCTATCCTCTTAGCTTGTTCATGTCCCTTTAAATTGTGCCACATTTGAAAGGAAAATGGATTTGTGGATAGGGTTCTCTCTGCTAGTCCCACACAGCTCATTCGTCTGTTGATTCTTATTTTTGTTGTTTATTGGATTGGATGATTGATATTCAGTTAAATTGTCCTAACGCACACGCTGGTTCAGGAGTGTTTGGGAATCCACAGACAACCACAGCAGCCTTACACATTAGCTTGGCATAACATACCTCAACAAGTGTTTGACCTACTCACATCAGCCAATGCCTTTGCGCTGTTCATTCTGGCATGTGCAAACTGACACCGGTGTTCACAGTGATTAACACCACTGTGATGTTAATCACAGTGATTAACATCAAAATGCACGAGACATGCAGGCAGTCTCCTGCATTTTACGTTTCTGAAGGTCTTTCTGTTCTCCCTGCCTCTGTGGGCCAAACCCTGACATCCTGAAGGATAGTCTGATGAAAAGGAAGAGAGGGTTGCTTTTGGTTGCAGGGCCTCATCTCAGCATCTCTGCATTGAAATAGCCTCCAATGATGACGACCTATGTTTTTTCGGATGGGCAGATGCCGACACACACCTTCACACTAGCTCCACCAAATCTGTTTGTACGTGCGCCGCGTGATTCGGAAAGCTTTTCATGGTGCAAACATTCTGCTGCTCCACTGACTAATGCATTTGTTTTTACCAATTTGAGACCATTATTTAAGGGTAGATCAACAGTTTGTTCCCTCCCCCCCCAAACGTCTATACACACTAAACAGTGTGGATTCTAAATCCATGACCATATTAACACTTAAATAAGACACTTGATGTAGGTTACTCTTTTTAGAGCTAAAACAATTGAAACTGGGGAACAAAGAAGAAGCCTCATAGCAAAGCTGTACAGTGTGTATTAAGTGTGTATTAGCAGTTCTCAATATTAATTGAGATAAAGTAAAAAAAAAAAAATCATCATTAAAGCAAAGCATTTCTTGCATTTTCTAACCAGAATGACTGCAGTGTCTGTACTGGCAACTATGCCCCTTTAAAGCTATTTCAGTAAGTAGTAATATTCATCACAGAATATTGGAAAATGAAGAAGTTAGCATTTTCATGGGGGGAAGAAAGAGGGAGATATTGTCCAAATGAATAAATAAATGAGAACAAGGAATCCAATATGCCTTAGAAAATTCTAATTATGGAAATAAATGGTAGAAACATTGTAGAGTAAGGTTGAAATAATAAGGCAATCCAGTGGTAAATATGAAAATTAAGTCACACAAAAAAATTATTGTAAAAAAAACAACAAAACAATAAAATGAGAAATGTTGAGCTGTCTTTGGTATCATCTTACAAAGAGGGGAATAATGAATATTTCAACACAACAACGTTAAAGTGTCATCAGTAGCAGGACAGTGATCCAGCAGATGGGTGCTGGGGGCCTCCGGGATGAGTCTGGGCGGGGCCTCTTGGGCCTCTGCGGGCCCCTGCGGGCCCCGTGTTCAGACTGAGTTAACGACATTCCAAGAGCCACACGGACCTACCGAACCGGTACCGTCAGATACTTGGGAACTCTTGCTCTGTCTAGGCGTTTTTTCCATTAAAGCCATGCTTGAAGCAGTTTTACAACAGTCTTATAGTTGTCTTTATTTATTCTCAAAAATATTCTGACTTTAAAAAAAAGTCTTCCTCTGACCGAGGGGGCTTCTCTGAGATAATAACTGAATGAATCGCACTGTGTGAAATCTTCACGCAACATTTACTCCTAACGTCTGAACAAACCGGAGCTGCGGGTTAACAGGCAAATAGCTACGTCAGCAGCGTTTTATTTTGATAACACCGGAAGTCGTCTGCAGTGTCCCGCATCTATTTCTCTGGCTGTCAGTCTTGGCCGTCGGCATATTAGGTTGCGCGGCTCCGTTTGCGCTCAGAGAAACTCCCAGTGGTTTGCGTGGGCACCGCGGGGGGTCAGCGCTCGGGCTCCGGGCGGGTCAGCGGGGTCTGGCTCTGATTCCATGGCCTGTACAGGCGGTGGACCGGCTGCAGCGGAACACTCCGAGATGCTCCGAGCTCTCCGCAGCTGCACAGTGACACCGGCCCGGGGACTCAGCGATGTTATTCAGACGGAGAGCCAGGTACGGTAGTCCGGCCGCACACTGGCAGAAAGGCGGGGAGTTGGCGGCGGGAGAATGTGAGTGAGGCTGAAAGCCGAGCGGAGCGGCGGCTTCTGGATGCAGTGATTGAGCCCGGGAGGAGCGGAGGGGCCGGCTGCGGTCGTGCAGAGGAGAGGGAGGGAGGTGGAGGAAGGAACGAGGAGATGTGGATGGAGGGCTGGAAGGGCCCCTCACAGACAAAGGATTTTCTTCTGATATTCCTTCCATCTCAGGGATCAGCTTCACGCAGATACAGCCTGCCTGCGCGCACGTGTGTGTGTGTGTGTGTGTGTGTGTGTGTGTGTGTGTGTGTGTGTGTGTGTGTGTGTGTGTGTGTGTGTGTCATTTAGTGCTGCGGTTCGCGTTTGACTGCTGGTGTCTGCTTGTATCATCATATCTTCTGTTTGTTGTGCCACCCAGCGAATGTGATGTTAGCACATCATGTTAGCTGTGCTAACATGTGTGTGTGTGTGTGTGTGTGTGTGTGTGTCCCAGTGGGAGTTGGGGAAGAAAAGCTTGCAGTCCAGACAGTCAGAGTTCCTGATCCTTTCAGTCTGTTTCAGTTTTCTTCTCCCATCTTCACATTCCATGTGTGTCTCAGAATATTCACTGAAATGAATCAAAATGTCGCTTCTGATGCCTGAAATCTGCTGAGCAAATGATTCGATTTGAAAAGTTGACGAGCAGAACGGAAAGTTCTCCTTTAAAAAGGCCAAAGCTTTCTGAAGCTGATGTATTTTGTTGTCGTTTTGTCTTCTCTACTCTTCCAAGGCCTTCAGTGGCTCTTGTTGGCTGCTGCCTGATAAAACCCGAATGCTTCCCTTAGGGATATTACGGTTCATGCGGCTCTCTGTGCTGAACCAGGTGGGCTGGTGAATGACTGATTGTTCAGTGTGACCCTGCTGTGAAAGTGTTTCTAGTGGTCAGTATCACTAGAGAAGCATTAGATAGCACCGATCTACCTACAGAGAATCATCCAAAACCAGTGACTCAATCCAATCAGCTGGGTTTCCTTAGATGGAAACTGCTTCATTTTAAGGTCTGAACTAATTCAATCGTCTGAATCGGTTCATGTGATTGGACTGAATTGATGACGAATAATTCATCCAGCCTCTAGTCAACAGCATTGAATGTAATGAACGTCTGTCACATGTTTCAGACATGAACAGTACATGTTGCACATATTGATGAATTTTTGGTAGACTCCATTTCTCTGTCCCTTTATGAGAGTTTTTTTGTGGTTGAGTATCAAACACTGGGTTCTACTGAAAGTGCAGGAAGATTTTTTAAATTTTGTATTTCTTTTATTGGAAGCTTTGAACATAATCTGTGATCCAAAGGAGACTCTGGGATATTATAACTTATTATAACTTATAAAAGTTATAGTTCAACTTTTATAAGTTGAACTATAACTTATAGTTAATTATAAGTTGAACTAACTTTCACAACTTGCTGCACAAGTGCAGATATCTCAAAATATCCTCATCGGTCGGTCCTCATTTCAATGCACTTCATGTGAATGCACTTCATGTGAATGCCGTGTTTGAAGATAATATCAGACGATGCACTGTGTTGCTGTATGCGCATGTCTGTATATGCAAAAATATTCGACAAAACCACAGAGGCTGACGGATCGCGACAAGCTGTGGCTTGTCATGAAAACCAGACCTGCAGATTGTTGACAGTGCAAACACTCTGACTGAGGTCGCCGGTTCAACTCGCGCAGTGAGGAGGTCTTTGTCACTTACTGTAATAAAATGTTTAAATTTTCAGCGTGCAGAGCTTGTTAGTCACACGTTGCTGCTGAGGGCATTCTCTCTACTGCTACTGTTTACGTTTGCAACCTGCCAATATGGCCTCTGCTTTCCCTTTTTTTTCACAAGTCAATAAGGAGGTGCATAAAGTAAGAACGCCAGAGTTTTGCACTTTCTAACAGGTGAGGATCGCATTGCTTAAATTGTATTTTCAGATATTTTATTGGACAGTTACTTAGAAAGACATTTTCTCACATGCAGAGAGAACGTAAAGTCAAAAGCTGAAATAATATCAAATAGTAAAAAAGTGGAAAGTAGTAGGAGACTTTAGCAGAGTCAGACAAAGTGCTCATTGTGTCCTCCAGCAGATTAAGCCGAAAGCAACGTAATTACTGAGATGGCCCATTAAAAAATGCTTTATCGTTGTTATTGTGCAGCAATAATTTCAGCTGATAGTCCAGAAGCTGTGAGAATGTGGAGAGTTAACGGTGAACACGAGAGCAGCGCAATCTGTGCCACTATCAGGTGTGTAACAGGAGAATCGAACAGAGGCTGAATGAAAACAAAGACTTTTATGTCCTGGGAGGAGTGATTACCAGGACTGGAGCTGGGAGTGTGCTTCACTGACTGAAGGGAAAGGGAAGCATGTGCGAGAAAGACTCAATAAAAGCCCAGAGGAAAAACTGAGAACCATTCCTAAATCTGAAAACTCAAAACAAAGAAACTAAATGCACGATCACACACGAGAAAGCGCGGGAGTTAGAAAACATGAACAACTTTAATCAGAAGCAGCATTGGTAAATAAATAGATGTAACATATGAAGGAGTCTTCATGAATAAATAATGAGACTTTTAATGCAAAGTTGGCACTTTTAATTAACTTTTAAAGCAACAGTTCAGGTTCACAGGTAAACAAGACTCACTGTCTTGTTTACACAACATGTCGGTCTGCTGTGCAGCAGTCGCCCGCTGAGGCGCGTTTCTTTGCTTGTTTTGCTGGGAAACGTTGCGTTTTAGTTATGTGGGTGATGCAAAATATTTTGGCTGACCCCGTTAAATCACAAACTTTCTTAGACCTTATCTAAATTCCTCAGACGTTCAAATTGTGCAGAGTGTGGAGCCGGCGAGGAAGACGTTGGACTGCTGGAGGCCTCGGTCGGCGACTCACAGTTAATGATCCTGCTTTTAAAGCTGACCGACTCAACGTCAGTCTTCATGTTATGACCAATTTCTGTATTCCTCCAAAAACAAAAGCCTCTACTGTAAACAGGCCACAGTGACGTAATGTGCTGGGGGAATGTCTCCTGATGGTGTGGGACTGTTTTCCTCCCAGTCATGATGCTTTTAGTCAGGCTTCTTCCATGACTCACTCTATTCTTCTCCTCCCTCATGTCACCACATTGACCTCCCTCCAACTCACCCTCCTTCTTTTATCTCCTCTGTTTCTGTCTTTGTCACAGATTTGTTTATTATTGTTTTGCTGATGATGCTTTTCTCCTCTCCTCTCCTCTCCTCTCCTCTCCTCTCCTCTCCTCTCCTCTCCTCTCCTCTCCTCTCCTCTCCTCTCCTCTCCTCTCCTCTCCTCTCCTCTCCTCTCCTCTCCTCTCCTCTCCTCTCCTCTCCTCTCCTCTCCTCTCCTCTCCTCTCCTCTCCTCTCCTCTCCTCTCCTCTCCTCTCCTCTCCTCTCCTCTCCTCTCCTCTCCTCTCAGGATGTTGCGGTGGCTGGTGTGTGGTCGGCTGGGACCAGTTTGGATGTGGAAAGCACTTCTGCTGTTTCTGGCCATTGCTTTTGCTGGTCAGCTGCTGGGAGTCATCTTCAACAAAAGGTAAATTCAACTCACTGTCATTAAGAACCTAAATGGAGAAATAATAATTCTCCACAAGTACTGCCACTATTTCTTTAAAATAAGTCATCTCCTGGTTGTGTAGTGATTGGGTGAAATGGCTTTAAACCTTACAGCAGAGCTTTACCAAGACAACCTGAGATTCACCAACAGCTTGTTTTTTTTTTTTTTCTTCGGGTTTTTGGTTCCATCTTACTTAACATTCTTTTTAAATAAAACACTAAAAATCTATTGAATTTTTTTGTATTCCCCCTCCCCCCTTTTTTTAAACGGAATCTGGAAAAATCTGGAATTCTGTGCAGCTCTGCTATGAGCCAGTGATACCAGAGTCACGTGGTCTGAGAGCAGTGTACTGGCTGGTCTTATGACACAAGTCTTTATTTCACAGTCCCAGTCCTTGTAAAACTGTTAGTCATTTAAAGAAAAAACCTCGGTGGTTCTTCCAATCCGGTAATTGGCACTCGGTTCTAGACATTTCTAATGTCTGTTGGTTTGGCATGTTTAAAACGACGCTCAGGAGCGGATTTGTTTGGCTTCATGTAGGTGAAAACTTTTGTGTGCGATATTATTATTATTTTTTTAATTATGTGGCAGAGATGATTATTTTTATGAAGACCTGGTGTAGAAGGCCAAGTCAAGCGAATGTGGAATGTCGCAGTCCTTCATTTTGTAGAGTACAAATGCTTTAAATATGAACTTAAAATCACAATGTGTGAAGCAGTTAGTTCAACAATAACCAGACAACCATCAAATCCAGAATTCCCCATCAGGTTTATGTTTGGTCAGATTATATATTTCCCCACAATTTATCCAGAAATGATTTCATCTGGGTTTGATTCAGACCCACATGAGTCAAGCCCAGCATTGTTTGAATGCTGGGACATTCAACTTGTTTTCATATAGACAGAAAACATTTGATCCAAAGGCACAACTCTTCAATAAACTCACATCTTGCTTCTGGGGAGGTTTTTCCATGTGCAGAATGCCACATGGAATTGCTTTAAGTCTTCAGGTCACGCGTTAAAATCATCAAGACCAAAATCATTAAATGATTCATTTCATAAGGAAAAGCATGGAATTTAAAGAAACATTCTGAAAATGTCCTGCTTTCCTCATTTTTTCCTGACAGTCTGAAATCTCCTCTATGTGAAATTCTTTTCCCTTCTTCAGCAATGTCCAGCCAGCTGCACGATCCATCTTTTCTTCCCCTGATGCTCAGGGGCCATCTCTGGGTTCCTGTCAGCCCCACACTCACATCATGTTCCTGAAGACCCACAAGACGGCCAGCAGCACGGTGCTCAACATGCTGTACCGCTTCGGAGACGAGCACAGCCTCCGCTTCGCCTTGCCGTTGGGATACCAGCTGGGCTACCCGCTGCCCTTCAACGCTCACCGGGTGAAAGGCTACCGAGGTCCCAGAGCCATTGAGTTCCACATCATGGGGAATCACATGAGATTTAATAAGCCGGAGGTGAGTTCTTCAGAGGAGCAGAAAACCCCAGGATGTAGAATTTAGTTGGTTAAGAATAAGAAATCAGCATGCCAGTTAGCTCTCTCTCTGAGAAATGGTAAGGTGAATTAATGAAATCATCCTACAGAGCTTCATAATATTTGTTGAACTTCTTGTGATAGCAGTGACTGCTTTGATATGTCAGCTCTACGGTTTCTTTGGAAGAGCCTCCTAACATAAATCTTATTGTCGTTGAAGCGTCTCTGCCAAGAAGCGCTTGGTTAATGTTCCTCTACGCTTCAACTGCCTCTGTGCTTCATGGTTGGTTGGGTCATTGTGACTGACGGATGCTTTTTGATTGATTATTGACAATCATGTGTCCAGTGCTTCGCTGCCTGGACGCTTTGGGGGCGAGTCCTCCATGAAAAACATTTCACTTTAAACCCTGATATAATGCCAATCACAAGTTGTTGCCTCTTTTCTGGCTGCTGGAGTCCTTTAGGTTCCAGCCTTGTGGATCACAGATCGCTCTGCCAGATGTAGCTTTCTATTGGATCATTTCTGTCTTTGATCGCTGACATGACAAATAATGTTTGTCCTGTACTGGAATATTTCAGTTACTCCACTCTGCACTGTAGGGTCAAAGACTAAGGCTACTGATTAAAGCTGAAACAACATGAGCTGTTTTACAGAAAGCAAACTTTTGCTCATCCAGTTTTAATCTAGAACAATAATCTGGTCACTCACTATTACATATCATCAGACTATTTGGGGATGAAAACACATCCATAAGTTCTTCATTCTAACTGAGGTCTCTACATGCTGCTCAGACTTCCTGTTCCAGAGCAGGAAGTGACTCTCAGCGTCCGTCTGGTGACATGCACACACATCCAGACATGATTCAGGGCTAATCTGAGCCTCAGTTGATGTGAAGAAGTTTCAGAGTCAGCCAGCTATGCTTTCACCGATCAGTCGGTCTCACTGACATGGACTTAAATTTCTGTCATTTAGGTTTATTACTTTTGTTACGCTTTTTTCTAATTTCAAGGCTAATTGCTTCAAACAAATGCCAGACCCAGATTTCAGTGTGAATGATGTCAAGTTATTTGTTGGCAGTCGACGGATCGTAGATGTTATGAACGTGAATACGCAAAAGGGAATTGAGATGTCTATGGCTCAGTGGTGACGCTACTGCGAGAGAACTGATGTTCTCATTACCATGTTTCAAGTTGACTAGCCAACTTTAAATCATTAGAATTGTAAGTTAAAAATTATCTTAGCGGGAGAAAAAAAAGTTAAATACTTTTTAGTAGTATATTTCAAAGAAATGTGGGAGGGCGGTACATATTTAGTGGCCTGAAGGTTCAAAGTGTGAATCATTTATAAATCAACACATAGTGATAATTGTTTATCTTGAGGCTAATTGTATAAAACTCAGATACTCAAAGCTGCAGAATGTAACTTTGATCAATTTTTTATTTTTATTCATTTTTTTACATATTTATTCTATTACTGTGTTTTGACAGTATAGATGAATGATTTTCAAGTGAGTTCATTTAGCATTAAGGTCATGAAATTGATTGACGGCATTAAGACCCTCCTCCTGGCCCTGATTGGCCGCTGCATGTCGATCTTTTCATAGATCATTTGTCTCATAACAACCGACATGGTGACCATTTTACAAATGGAAAAAAAATATATATATATATCGTTAAAGTTACATTCTGCAGCTTTGACTGACACATTTTTGTCTTATCAATCAGCTTTTCTTTTCAACATCATGAAAATGTTCTGCTGCCTAGAAATGTCTGTCTACGAACTTCCATTTATGGCACCTTTTTTATAACCAAGGTTTGTTCTTGTTTTCAGGTGGAGAAGGTAATGCCTGCAGACACCTTCTACTTCTCTATCATCAGAGACCCAGTCTCTCTGGCTGAGTCTTCCTTCGCCTACTATAAAGAAGTGGCCCCGGCCTTCCGGAAAGCCAAAGGATTGGGGGAGTTTGCGGATGACCCTAAAAAATTTTACGACCCTCGTCTACGAAACAACCACTACGCCCGCAACCTGCTGTGGTTTGACTTTGGCCTTGACAACAACGCCAATTTCTCTTTGGCGCTGGCTCGACTCGGAGAGGACATGATCCGGCGGACCTTCAAGCTGATTCTTGTCTCTGAGTACTTCGACCAGTCCATGATCCTGCTGAGACACGCCCTCTGCTGGCCAATGGATGCAGTCGTCTTCTTCAGCCTGAACGCTCGGCAGCAGAAGCCCAGCAGTGCTGGTGGGGTGGCTGAGTCGTGGGTGGGCAAAGCAGCAGCAGCCGCAGCTGGTGTTGGTATTAGAGGTGGGCTTGTTCAAGCAAAGACGCTACCGAACCTTTCCCTAACGCCGGAGCAACGGGAAAAGCTCAGACAGTGGAATGCCTTTGATTGGTACCTATACAAAGTCTTCAACAAAACCTTCTGGGAGGAAATTGACAAGTTTGGCCATGCTCAGATGGAAAAAGAAGTCCAACTCCTCAGGATGCGTAGGGAAGACCTGGCCCGGGTGTGCCTCAGGGACGGGGGGAAGCCTGTGGAAGCTCATCGGATCCGGGACAAAAACATTAGACCATTTCAAAGTGGATTAGTTAAAATTCTGGGTTATGAGCTCCAGCCGGGGCTGGACAATACCACTCGGATGTCGTGTCTGAGGATGATCAGGCCAGAGATCCAGTACAAGGATGTGTTGGATTCTAAGCAGTTCCCGCAGTTCCACGCCATCCCAGCTCAGCAACAGAGTCAGAGGCTGCTGGTGGCCGTTGGTGGAACCTTTCTAAAACAAGAGCCACCCAGGAAAGGAAGAAAAGAGACGGGAGGAGAAGCTGGAGCTGGAGGAAGGACTTTGGAGGAGGGAATGAAAGCCTGGGAAGGCAGCCGTTTAGTTAGGAACAACCAGACTTTGGTACGAGAGCACGAAAAAGGAAGGCTTAGATAGGAACCTTTCGTTTTCTGTCTCTGGAAGCTTGAGATGACTTTGAAATGGACAAATACTAGTTTTGTTTACCTGTGTGAAAACAACAAGCTCTTCTATTTTGACTTGTTTTCGTAAATAGTATTATAGTTGTAGTTAATGTGGTCATCAGATGTTTCAATAGCAGCAGTCACTAGGGCTGGGCGGTGTTTGCTTTTGATCAAATTTAGCCTTCCTGTTAACACTTCACTGTCTGCCTGGAAAGACTGTTCCAGGCATTTTGAGATGATATCAATGAATGAATGAATGAATTACCATTCAACAGCCCATATTGATCTGTCATCACCTCACAAAACAAAATCATTGAACATATGAAAAAACAGTATTCATCACACTAACTCCTATAATTACTAGTCAGCTCTGCTTCTGCTCGCTCCTCCATGGTGTGCAGGTAATTAAAGCAGCAGTGTATTATTTTATCATAAAAATGCCTTGAGATTGGTTTGGTTAGCTTGAACACGTGCTCACACTTTGGTCATGCAGTGAGTTGAAGATGATTTTTTTTTCATCACAGTCTGTCTGTAATCTCTGCCGTTCATCTTTTAAAGGGACGGTTTGGGGTTTAAAGCAGGGGTTCACTGACTGACCAGCCAACCCATCTGCGCTCTACAAAGGTCTGAAAATCAGCCACTGTCCTCGTTGCTCTGCTGTGAGAGACTGACTGAGGCCACGGCTTAACTTAGAGACTTTGTCGCTATATTTAGTGGCGTTTCAGATCCCTTATGTCAGTATGGTTTTTTGGCCCAAAGAAAAAACAAAAAAAACAAAACAGTGACTAATGTAGTTCCTTTGTTATCGGAGACTTTGGTGACAACTGACAGTGTCAGTCATTAAAAAGAAACCAGCACCGTAATCAGGTCAGGCTGGAAAACTGCAGCTGCAGTTTACAGTAACTGCATGGTCAGACTAACAGCCAATCAGAGGGGAGCTTAGACCAATCAGATTACTTCTTGCCAGACATTGTATAGTTGTTCACGGAAAAGCGGTTTAATCAGGAACATGACTATTTAAATAACCGTTCGGTGGTAAAAGCTGCAGAAGTGTGAAAAACCGGATTCTCGAGTGCTTCCTGGAAACACCGTTTGTTATTTCTTCAACCTGTAAGCGTTTTACTCAATCTTAATAACTCACAGAACCTCACTCTAGACCACAAAAGCAAAGCTCCAGTTTTTGAATTTAACTGGAGTTTCTTGGTGTTTAGTCACTGCAGCTTAGATCTCCTTTAACCATTCAACGGTTCAGGCCTGTGGTTTATGCAAATGATCCTAAACCTTTAAACCACACTTGTCTGAGAGGTTTTTACATCATTTCTATACATTACAAAATATTTTTAAAATAACCATACACAGGAAACCCAGAATTGTATCAGAACGAGAAGGGAAAGTGTTGTAAAAATACAAACAAATTAAGTCGCGTTCGACTTTTGAGCAGAACTCGGTTGAACCTGAGTGGAACAATAAATTGTAATACGCTGATCACTCATAACTACTCCACAGAACCCTACTTTTAAGATATCTGAGCTGTCCTGTTTAACTGCAGAATTCACGAGTGATAAAATCTTCAGGCATGATATGAAGAAGCCGCACAGCATGACTACACAATACAGTATGTTTACCGGAGCACAGCCCACTTTAACTTCCAACCCAACTGTTTAACTCCCATCCAAAGTGGTGCTCTGGTCATTTCTGAACGACATCACCACCCAGCCCTAGCAGGAATATCAAAAAGCTGTGTATTTTGTCTGTTTTCTTGTTTTTTACATGAACTTTTAAAATCTTGGTACTGCCTTTTATTGTATAAGAGAACCGGCACTGTTCCTAGAGCCTGTTTCCTGGTTGTAAGAGTTTTCATATTAAGCTTGATGTAATGTGCAAGACTTTATAAAATATTCCCTCCCCTCTCATCAGCTTCCAAAGGGGTTTTCTCTTCTTGTGCTGCAGGAGTAACTCCGACCCTCCACGGACATTTGAAGGATTTTGCAGTTCTGTGCGGCATCCAGCAGTGAGCTGCTAGCAGCTGTCCTGCATTCCTTCTTCTAAGCAATTATGGGGGGGACATTTTCTCCCATAATTCGAGAGCACAAAATGATTTGCAAGCGATTTGATCTGAGCAGAGGGAAGTTCTGAGCGCGAGGAGAAACGTCTGCGGACGCACAGTGAATGAAAGAGAGCAGCAGGTTTGAGTACAAGCACTGCAAGCTTTGAGAGGAAAGACATGGACTGAAATTGTGTGCCCTTGAATTGTGGCAGAAAAATTCCCCCGTTATCAATCAAATGTATTTTACACAGTTAATTTAAACTCTAGAGTTTTTGTGGACAAAGTTGCTTATTTAAATTTAAGACCAAAAAGTGAAAAAAATAAAAATTCTGGAAATGTGATATTCCAAGACAAACTCCGCCTCCGCGCGTCTCCTCCAGACTAGCGGTTACTGAACACCTGGTGGAGCGGCATGTCTGCTGAGCTCATCAGACTTAAACGGCATCAAAGGGTGGCATGGAGAAAGATCGTCATGACGACGTGGATGGAGGTGGAGAGTCAGGAACAATGGGAGGTTCTTAAAGAGACAGACCGATTTATTTACATACAGCTATGAAGCAAAGTCAAACTTAAAATTTCTTTTAAGTTGTTTTTGACATACACAGCATTTTCATGACAATTGAACGTAAGGTTGTTACTTGATTAGGCAATAAAATGGTACTTTGTGTCTGAAAAATACACACCTACTTTAAGACATTAATTTCTAATGTCTTAAAAATAAATACCATTATGTGGTAATTATTTATGTATGTATTGGATTAAATATAGGTAGCATTTAATAACCAGTTTAAATCAGTTTTTTTTTTCTAAATGGGCCAAAAACAGAATTCCACTTCAGTCAACTGAAACTAACTAAACATTTTCTTTTTCATTGCCAATTTTACAATGAGTCAGGGTTGAGCCAGTGAAAGGTTTCCTGTGTAAGGTTGGGTTGGGTAAGATGCGTCTGCTATGACACAATCAGTTTAAAAGGTTTATCCCCTGAGGCTTCCCCAAGTTCTACCGCTGCATGCTAAAAAATGTCACCAACCCTGAGCAAGCACAGGGAGACAGTGCAGAGGAACAACACTCCCTTAACAAAACCTCAACCAGAACCAGGACGACCAGACCGCTGCCTCGAGGACAGGGTCGGAGAAGAAACAGAGAGAGACTGAGTGAAGGAAAAACGGTCACTAAAATCTGCTGTAGTTCATCGGTCGGTGCTGATTGGACAACCTGGATTCTGCTGATCAGGTCAGCAGGATGAACCTTCGTCCTGCTGAGCCTCAAATGTTTCTGAGTAACATGAGAGGAAAAGCAATCCACGGCTCATGTTTCTAATTAGAGCTGCTTGATAGCCTGCCAGGGTCTGGTTGTCATTGTGTCCAATGATAATACTAACTCTACTACTGAACCTCATTCTTCCACTGCCTGCTATAAAAGATGGAAGGTATCTGACTTGCACAACTACGGTATAAACTCACACCTGAAGGCCGCGAGGAAAATTCTACAAAAAAGTTTGAATAAATTACTTTGCAGCTTCTAGTTTGCATTAGACTTGTGGAGAAATGTATTTCCCAAAGATACTAATTTTAGAGTTTTACAGTAAAGATGCCACAGAAAGTCAGGCATTTTCAACTGGAGCACACATGATTTAAAACCAGTGATGCGTTCAAGCTCATCGCTATTCTGTTCTGTTGAACCGGGCAACTTCCTCCATGCAAAGATTTTCTACTTCTCATTCTTTGACGATAGAAATTCTTTCACTTTATCACTGACAATTTTTTTTTTTTAAAAATCTAAAAAGAGTGTTTACAAAATGTAGAGCAAGTCGAGTGTGAATAAGTCCGCAGCTCCTTTTTTAAGCTTGTTGAGTGTTGATGCTGTGCGCTGTTCTTTCTCAACATATTTGGGTTCGGTGGTCAGCACAGAGGAAGTTGTTACGCATGAACAGCTTATGCAGTTTCAGAATTACACGTTTTATCTCTGTTGCGGTGCAGAAAAGCAACATGGCACGTACAGGAAACCCAGCAAAGAAGCTGCACGCAACCCAGACTGCCAGCTACAGAAACACAACTCAGCACACGGCATATTCTGCTGCTTGACTTTTCCTCACAGCCTTTCAGAACAGCTGTCTTAAATGATACTTTTAAAGGAACAGTGTGGAAGAAACCAGGCTGGGTCAGACTGTCTTTGCTTTTTTTCTTTTTTCTAACTGATGACATTTTGCTCGGCCACACAGACGGGGCTGAATGATGTGATTTCAGCTCCGGCTTTGAATGTCAGTAGAGCACAGTTCAAGCTGAGGTTGTTCTGTGCAGAGTAAAGGTCTCGCTTCTGCTACACCTACTCCCTTTTGAATTTCACTGAGCTTACAGAAATCCAAGTCTGGGCAATTTGGACCAGGCTTGTAAGGTGAGAAGGCTCAAGGAACTCTGCTCTTCATTCAGAGCATGTGTGTCAAACTAAAGGAATGTGGGCCAAATCCAGCACGTTCCGGCTTTTTATGTGGCCCTCTGGACTCCTGACTAAATATCATGTAAGGAGATAAATGCAGTTTTTATCTCCTTCCTGCCAAATTAGTGCCTCCTGTTTCATGAGAATTATTGTGGAAATTCCCTCAAAATCAACCAAACCTAATGTGCATACTGAACTTACTGTACATTTTTGCTAAAAAAAAAATTATCAGGGTTTTTCTAACTGTTTTCGGGTCATGTTGATGAGCTGAATCCTAAAATCACATTGGTTTTTGCTCAATCAGGTCAACTTTCTGAACTATGGAGCAACATGAGCATCAAAATGCATGATTGTTCTCACATCTGGATCAGTTTCCTGAGAATCTGATCAATGGGTGACGAGCAGGAGGAGAGATTCCATCAGGACAGAACAGAGACGGAGACTTTTACATAATGAAGACATAATGTTCAATTCACATGTACTTACATTTATCAGTGTTTATTGTTCAATCTGCAGAAAGTGGCTCATTATGTTTGTTTCATATTTCATCTAAAGTGTTTCACAACTCAAGAGAGCAAAAACAATCTGCGTGTCACTGTTTATTTTTCTTAGTAATTATCTGTTAATGTTTGTCTTTTTTGATTATTAGGAAAACAAGTTGTACTGAATACAAAAAGAAAAAATAATATATAAATAAATCACAAAATGTGTTGAGATGGATTAATATATCCTAACAGTTCAGAGCCGTCAAAAGACAATAATTAGTGAAAATGTGAGCAGATGAAATCCAGCCAGAGCAGGAAGAGAGACAATTCTGAGGTAAAACGGATCAGCAGAAGCAGCTTGAGGACAAGCATTTCTGTGCTTAAACGAGCTGGTAGTGGAAAGAACAGGAAATATAATACTTCAAAAAGGAAAAACTGGAATTGTGAGAATTCCCTCTAAGCCTCAGTACTGAGTCTCAACAAGCAGAATGGTTCCGTCGCCTCCCTCCACGCTTCAGGTTCTGCCTCTGAGGAAGCCAAGGAAGAGGCTTGAGCAGAACACTTGAAGCCTCTGGACTCTGTAGTTTGTGGACAGAGACTTTTACCACTGCTTTCACTTCAGCTTGTGAAACACGAAGAACCACAGCAGACTATTCTGAGAGCTGTGCAACACAGACAGGGAAATGCTTTAATGACCCTGGTAGTTTTTCTTTTTTTCTTTTTTTTCCCTGTCACTTTAAGATAGACTGGAGATTCCAGATTGTTTTTATTTATTGTTTTGCTACTTGTATTGTATGTCGTATTGAGGCATTTCTGAAAACAAGAGAAAATGTCAAAGAAGGAGCATTGGTGCTTAAATAACCAGAAGGCATTTCGGCTTGTGCTTCAACAAAGGCATATTTATTCACAAATTACAGACATTTAAACTAAAAAAAAAAGTTCATTAAGGAAACATTAACATTTTACACAAAAAAAGGTTTGTTCAAAAATATAAGTTAAAAAGTGTCTGTCACATAAAGAAGAACAGAGCAGAGCAGAAGTTGACATGTGAGCCGTCATCACATGTTGGTCAGTTTTTCTTTCCTTTCATCATCCATCTGTTCGTATGAATAACCTGGAAGACAAAGCGCAGGGCAAAGTCACAGGAAGGAAAGCATTTACAACCACCAGTCACTTAAAGCTGAAGCTACATGAGCGTCTTCCAGAAAAGTTTCTGAAATTATTTAATACATTTAGATCTTGTATTATGATTGTGTAAGTTTTTCAATGACTTAATTTGAAATAATTCAATTGTTTTAAAGCATGTCACACAACCAGAAGTACTATTATTCTATTCTGTTGTGAGTTTTACAAAGTCAGAATGATCAGCAGTTACATGAAGTGTCTCTGTAATGAATCCTAAAATTTTCCACAAAACTGGTGACCTTCTCAGAGACAGGTGATTAGATTTTTCTAATATTCAATCTCTCACTAATGATTTTAAAATGGTTTTAATTTTGATCTCAGTTTTTCAGAACTGTGATCCCATTAAAAGCTCAGTGTAAGTCTAACTTTTAATCAGATTGGCAAGTCTTACCTGTTGATTTCAAGCTGACACTTCCGTCATCAGAAATGCTATTCCTGCGGACAGAAAAGGCAGAAATGAGACTTTTCCCCCATGAGAAACGATAGAATTGTGAATAATTTAAAATGTTCTCTGTTTGACAAAGGGACAATTTAAAGGGGCAATATTGTGTGTTCTTCAGGCACATATTCCCATAGCTATGTTAATTCCATTTGTTATTAAAATTCTGTCTTTATCAAACATGACTTAAAAGAAATTTGACTTCATGATTTAACGGCTTGAAGCTGGGCCTCTGCCTCTTCAAAACTTTCTGTTTTTTCTGAAACTCTGCCTTCACAACGCGGCTCCTCTATTAACTAACAACGTTTTAACCAGCCTTAGATTGTAAAATGAACTCTACCAAGCGTCTGCTAATTGCCACTTGCTAGTCTGAAGGAGCTGAGCGGGGGAGTTGCAGGGAAGGGCATCTCTGAGGAGGTGGAATGACATCAGCTGAATGGCTGCCATGAAAGGATTTCTCAAACATGTATAAACAAATCAGGGTCACTATCCCAGGCATTATTCTGATAAGGAATAATATTATAATGTGATGTAAAGCTCAAAAAAGTGGATTTTACATAATACTTCCCCTTTAAACAGCACATCAGAGCCTTTAAATGAACACGCATGGACATGTTACTATAGTGACAGTAATTCTAGAACAGGGGTGTCAACATCCAGTCCTCCAGGGCCGGTGTCCTGCAACCTTTAGATGTGCCTCTGCTGCACCACCTGAATAGAATAATTAGGTCATTAGCAAGGCTCTGGAGAATTGACCTTCACAAGGAGGAGGTAATTAAGCCATTTCATTCCTGTGATTTGTACCAGTGGCACATCTAAAAACTGCAGGACAGTGGCCCTCGAGGACTGGAGTTTGACACCCCTGATCTAGAACATCTGGGGGTTTTTATGGGAATCTGTGAAAACACGATTGTTCTCCCAGTCTGTTGTGTCTGAACTGGAACTCTGCTGGGACTCACTTGTTTTTCCGTGTGCACACACACACAATGGTAATCACAATGACGACGAAGACAGCCGAGGCCAAGACTGCAATTAGGATTATCCACTTGGTTGCTGTAAGAAACAACAAAGACATTGCAATGAGAAACCGCCCTACTATTACACTCTACTGCTCACACCGAACAAACACAGCAGCAACATAAACAGCTAACCGCTGGTTGAGCTACATGTAGAAAACAAAATGGAATCCTTTCATTAGCTTCGGTGCTTCAGTGTTAACTGAGTTCATGAGGATAAAGTTGAGCAGCTCTTACCCAGCCCTCCGGGAACCTCAGTAACCTCCATCTCACAGACGTCGCCTTCGAAGCCTTCTGGACATTCACATACGAATGTGTTGTTGTTGTTGCCTGCCACACATGTTCCTCCGTTCTCACAGGGAGAACTGAGGCAGGGGCTTGCTGCATGAAGGAAGAACACGGATGAGCTTCCAATACAAGAGTAGCAGTGATATTATCAGCTTAGGTGTTCACTGAAGCAGACATTTTGCTCGTCTTTAACACATTATAGTAAAACTACAGGCTAAACCAGTTCCAGAAACGAATGTAGTGGATAAGCCAAAGCAAATAATGCGACTTTTGCAGTGACATCTGGGGTTAAAGGTCATGCCTCCCCCAGACAAGATGCCGCCCTGGGTGGTTGCCCATATCGGAAACTACTACAGAACTACGCACACAACTTAGCTTACATAAATGCAAGTTTGAGTAAGCTAACAAGCACTCCCGAATAAGACACCAGCTTTTTGAGGCAAGTTCAAAACTTCCAGTCAGTTTTTCTGTATTTTTTCTCTTAAAGGAGAACAAACCTTTGAAGCAGTCTCGCTTTAACTCGAAGATGGTGCAGAGATAACCCTCCTGGCAGCTCTTGGGTTGGCACACGGCTCCTCTGCTGGTACACTCGCACGACTGGGAGCAGTCTTCAGTGACAAACTTCTCATTCAGCTGCAGGATGGAGAGAGAAAAGATGAAGCAAATATCCATGGAGATGCACAAACATGGACACGGCGGGTGTGATGAGGGGGGGCGGCTCACAGGGTAGTATCTGCTGAGGAAGGTGCAGCCACACTGTGGGTACGGCACACAGATCCCCTCGCTCATGACGAAACCAGAGGCACACTGGCACCCTTCCACACAGGAAGTGACGTCACATTCAGAGGGTGCTGCCAGGTCGGCGCAGGACGATGGACACGCCGTCATGCACTGGGAGTAGGAGCTGTTGGCGCCACAAGCCAGGGCTGCAGCCCAAACACAGACAGTCAGATCTGTGAGGGAGTTTTTGGCGGTGGGGCCAGGCTCCTCTTCCACATGTCTACGGATCATTAATCTTACCGCAGTTCAGATTCTGCCTCCAGGCTCCCAGTCTGACTCCAGCCTCCTGACAGGCGGTGGCGTATGCCTCGTAGCTGCCACAGCGCAGCTCCTCGCTGCCCTCCTCAGCACACAGGTCAAACAAACAGTCACTAGAAGGACAGACACACACATTGATAATGAGCAACACCTCATACATGGTCCCACCTTGGTGCCCACAGGATTACTCACTCCTGGTAGGGTTGGGGTTCCACAGTGTCATGGCAGGCCGCAAACGGCCCCTGGGGGTCTGACAGGGCTCCGCACTTTCTCACGCCGCTGTAGTCGCTGAGTTGAGACGCGGTGCAGTCAGTCGTCTCAAATCCCGACTCTGGATCTGTCTCCACCTCTCGCCTGCAGAAGGATAGAGGTTTGGGTTAAACGTGAGTGACTGCTCAGGCACACAGTAAAAACTGTGACGAAGGCAAATCTTGAATCATTTCAGTGTGTTTGCTGCAGGCCTACGCTGGCCCACTTTGTGAACTGCAGAGCTTTATTTGGGATTTTTCTAGGAGTGATGTGATACATGTAGCAGCAGCACAAACGTCTCCAATGCTAATGTCAGCGATTCTAAAGAAGTTCCATGAATGATCAGGAGTTCCTGAAACTCTGGAAAGATGAACAGATAGAATAAAACTTTGTCCCAATTTGATGGTTTCAGAACAGATTAAACACTACACATATATTTGTTGTTGACCTCATACGTCTATTTATTCAATAATTTAGTGGCAAAAAGGATTTTGTATTGAAACTGTTGCCTAACGTTGTTAACTCAATGAAAAAATTTCATCAAGTCCCACTGCTACTGTGGAAGGTTTACTGTGCCTCATTATGCCACTAAGTCCAGCCGTTCTGGTGACGTTCAGCCATCTGTGTTAGCATCCTGATCAGAACCCCCTGAAAGAGGGGATTTTGTATCTCAGTGGAAAATCCCTGATTAAATAAAGAGTACATGGAGTCTTAGTGAAGCAGTTGCAACGCTCAGTTTCTGTTCATCAAGTTTCTCTTCCAGACTGACATTAATAAAACATGGTGAGCCTTCATCAGATGTGGCAGGATGACCAATCTGTTAAAACAGACAACAAAGCGATGAAGCCTAAACTTTCTGATAGCCATCCTCTCTATAGAGCCCTGTTCTCATATCAATTTGTCATTTGAAATGACATTGACTTCTTGGATTTACTAGAAATGCACCGATTGCAGTTTTCAGGACGATGTCCTTCCTTTAAAAGCCTGACCTGCCGATTCCTGTTGTGGCAAATATCAATGGATCCACTAGTGTTGTTTCAACTACTCACTACACACGTATGACCTTGTGGCCATGTGTGTCACTCAGCCTCTCTTATGGCAGAGCAAAGTGTCATGGAGTAAATACTCGTCAGTATTTACTATGAGGAATGTTCACATAGGAGAAAAATCCTCATCAACTAACTTGAACACAAGCGGTTCTCCTACCTGTGGACATGAACGGCCGTCTGAACTTCAGAGATCTCCAGCCCATCACCAACTCGGTCGTTGGTTCTCCAGCTTTCTCCAAACTCATTCAAACTCCTGACCAATGTCCCATCGGGTTTCATGTACTCGTTTCCGGTGATGCCATCATAGTTCCCACACAGTCCTCTGACAGAGTGCCTGTATGTGCTGGGGAGCTCAATTTCTGAAGGAACCAAGAGGGAAAATAGATGAGACGGCATTGATACACAGTCTGAAGGTAGGTGTCAGTATGTGAGGTGGATACTTTACCTCCACGGATTTTGCCATCAAAGCGTACTGTGAGTCCAAAGTCTGTGGAAAGCTGGACTTCCTTGGAGTTCATTGTGATCGTCAAGCCCCTGACCGGACTGAGAGGAGGTGTGACACGCTCTCCGTTCACCTGCAGGAAATAAGAGTCAGTGACTTTTAGTTTTCTTAGCAGAAAAAGGTCCCGCTGATCCACACTTTCCTCCAGAACTCACCAGGACAACGTTCTTCTGCAGGAAACGGACGCTGACGCCATAGACGTCCACGTACATCTGATCCAGGACGGACACTCTCTTGCTCGCACCTCGTCTGATGTTCTTCCCTCTCACCAGCAGGGGAACCTGGGAGTCCAGGAGATTGTGGCCCTGAGTCAGGACGTAGGTGTAAGGTCCTTGGAAGTGATGTCTGAAGCCATCGAAAGTCCTGTAGTGAGGGTCTCCGGTGATGCTGCACCGGTCAAACTCTGCAGAGGACGACGATGGCAAAGAGTCGGTTAAAACCAGAATCTAAACTGCCTTCTACCAGGAATCAATGAGTCTCTGATCTGCACATGTCTGATATTTCTAGGATGTGTGATGGTTAAGTGTTGAACTCACTGCTGGGCTTGCAGTAGACATCTCCGAATTTGTCCAGGGCACACACTGAGTTTGCGTTACAGCTGTGGCTTTTACATGTGATTCCACCACCAAGGTTACAATTGCATGACTCAGAACATTTATCTGTCAGCCATGAGTCTCCCACCTGCGCACAAGAAAACGGACACTCAGTCATATTTATCCAGGAACCCCAAGAGACAGTTAAGAAAAAGCCGAGGCTTTTTTTTATGTCTGACTCCTTTTACTGACTCCTACATACAAAATATAATTTTAGAGCTAAATGCCTTAAAAAGACAGTTGCTGATCAGTATATCACATAAACATGATTCCAGGAATGTTTTCTTATTTTTATGTGATTGTTTCATCTCACTGCAGTGCATTATAGACTGGATTGAATTTGTCAGGATGATAATTGTCATGAGACAGTTTTGAGGCAAACTGACGTAAGAATTTTTAGCGTAAGCTCTGCGCTCAAATCCCTCGTTGTTTCTGTAAACGACAAAATGGATTCCATAGAATCAACAACAGTTTTTCGTCTGAAATACTCTGCCGGTGTACGACTGGACATGTAAGCTGATGTTTGCTGTAGAACTCACATCGTGGTACTCTCCGTCCGAGTCCACGCAGCCACATTTATGCAGAGGAACACACTTGTCGTCACTGAGGACGTGTCCGGCGTTGCACTGACAGCCTTCCACACAGGTGGTTGGTGGAAGGTGGCAGAATATGGGGAAGAGGTCGGAGCAGGTGGGAGGGCAGGGCAGAGTGCAGTCTGAGTAGTGGCTGTTCGTGGGACAAGGCAGCGCTGTGAAGAGCAAGGAGCGTCCCAGCGTAAAGCACCGACCTCTGAGCTGGACCGTGACTCAATCAGCGTGAAAGAAACTTACGACAGAAAGTGTTGTTCCTCCAGCTGATGGTGACGCCAGCGCTCTGGCAGGCCTGGGCGTACGCCTCCACGTTGTCACACAGCGTCGACTGCATGCCGTCGTACTCACACATGTCGTAGATGCAGTTGCCAAGGAAGACCTCGGGCGGCACTACAGAGTGGCAGGGCTTGAAGCGGTCAGACATGATGACCTCAGCACACTGAGCCGAATACAGACTCTCTTCTTCGGTGGTGCAGTTAGGGTGGATGTCGGGTCGCGTGTCCGGCTGACAGCTGCAGACAAAAAGAAAAGCCCCTTCAGCTTTACTAAATGTCCCTTTTGCATCGCAAACACAGAAATGTCCTACAGTGCAGTTGCTATGTATTTTTATGTTTGCTGAAAGAGCGCTACGCACCATTCAGATAGTTACAGTTAATCGGATTTTGTTGACGCTTACCCAGGATCACTGTCTCCATCTGATTTCCAGCTGTTGCCCAGTTCAATCACGTCCTTGGCTGGTCTCTTATCAGGCATCAGGTTATCATCAGAGCTGTCATGGTTGTAGTTCCCACACATGCCACACACCTGGACAAATTAGAAACCAAGTTTCAGAGAGCGCTCTGTATGCAGATCTCACAAATAACAGAGTACAATATGTAAAATGCTCTCTCTACCTTGTTGAAGTATTCTCCAGGTATGGTGATTTCCAGGTGATGGACTCCATCAAACTTCACCTGGAGGCCAAAGTTTGTGTCCAGAAGGCTGTAGGACCCGCTGATTATCACCTTGGCTCCGGCTGCGTCGATGGTGAGCGGGGTTCGCACACGCCGCCCGTTCAGCTGAAGCATGACACGACGAAATGACACGCTGGATATGGTTTTCTTTTTTTTGCTGGCTTTAAATCATTCATGCTCGTGTCAGTGAGTTTGAGACAGCATTACCAGAACTCTGCGGCCCTTCTGGAGCTCAACCACGGTGTCGTGAGGCAGGTAGACTCTGACGTAGCGGAGGTAGGAGGCCTCTGGCTGACCGCGCTCCTCGTTTTTAGCCACCACTTTGAAGGGCGTTACCATGCTGCTGTTGCACACCTGAAGGATTTAGACAAGATGGATGCAATGAACATGTCTGATTGTCTCCAAATGACCCCAGACTATAACGCTTCATCGTATGAGTCACAAAAGCATTGGGATTAATAAAGTAATTTTCAACTTAAACAATAAATAGACATGTTTCAAATTCTGTAGTAACTTCCATCAGGACAGAAAAGAGATGGAGAATTTTACACAGTGAAGACCTGATGTTCAATTCACATGTGTTTACATTTATCAGTGCTTATTATTCAATCAGAAATCCAAGTTTTTAACATGGATTTTTAACACTTTGTCATAAAACAATTCTTTCTTTCTCCTAAAACCCTTTTGGGATGAGAAATATTAACAGTGATGAGCTGATAATGTCACAAAAATGTCATTAATTTAGTCAGAAGATCACATTTCTCTAAATAAAATTAGAATAAAAACCTGACCTGCTGTCTGACTGAGAAACATGGATGTCATTTTTGGACTCAGTGGTGCAAAATAATCCTAATTCAGTTAAAACATAGAGAACGTCCAAAAAAATATTTCTTTGTAATCCAGTGTAATTAAAACCTTCATTTCCCAAGTAATTTACTTTGGACTGCATGGTTGTCATTCTTGGAACTGAATCAGTTTGGTAATGTTAATGTGAGTCTCGACTAGAGAACAGGCTGTTTTCTACTGGGATGAATCAGGAAGCTGATTATTCCTCACCTCCACCAGTGTGTATGTGCAGGTGCCCATGAACGTGTGCATCACACCGTCAAAAGTGTAATAATGTGGATCTCCAGCGACATGACACACTCCTTTACCTGGAGAAAGAAGAGGAAGTGATGTAACTGTGGCAGAGCCACTGGGATGCAGGAACAGATGCCTGGAATGAGAGTGTGTTTCCAGGTTACCTGTAGAGTGACAGCCCAGAACTCCCTCCACCACCTTGCACTCCTGCGCCGGACTGCAGCGCCACGGCTCGCAGGTGACGTTGAGATTCCCGTTACACTTACAGCGCTCTGAGCAGTCAGTCTCAGTGAACCAGGTGTCTCCAACCTGAACACACACACACACACACACACACACGTTCAACTCCTGCCAAGAGTCACAGACGTTTTCTCTTCTTGCAGTTAATACCCACCGGTCTGTATTTCCCATCTTCATCTGTACATCCACACTCACTGAGTGGGACACACTTGTCTCCGCTGAGAACCAGGCCCTCGTTACACACACAGCCCTCCACACAGGGGTGGCTGCAGGAGCCCCCAGGACCTGCAGGGTCCTGGCAGCTGGGCTGACGGCAGGCGGAGGCACACGGCTCATAGTGACTGCCGGCCGGGCACTTCAGCGCTGCAGGGGGAGGACAGGCAGAGAAGGCAACGCTTAGAAACTGGGACGATCTCTGTAACCAGGAGCTCCGTCAGCTTAACTCAAAAACACACACATACATCCGCACACACACATGCATCCGCACACACACATGCATGCACACGTTTAATTTGCAATAGTAGAGCATTGAAAGAGACTGCGTTATAAATTCGGTCCCCACTAAAGTGACTTGCTCTCATTTGAACCTCTCACAGGTGTTCTCTTTCATTTAGCTACACTGCGGTATTAAAGTGGCACATGTCAAGAGGGAAATTAATAAAAACAGCTCAAAATGAACAGCTGCCTGGTTTGAACCAGGCTTTACGGCTTCGTTTCTACCACAGTTTGTTTATTACATGAAACAGACTGAAAGAAACAACTGAAAGAAATTGTTAAGATGTAAAATCTCTGTTCATATTCACGTGTCACATATATATGACACTCTCCACACAGCCTGATGTTTTTCCTTTGGTTTTGCTGCAGTGTTGTCTTCGTGTTCATGTCTTCTTGATGTCCTCAGATGTCAGGATTTCTACTTTGCATCACTTATTACATCTGTAAAGGTGGCACTACGTATTTTTCAGGCACATTTTCCATTTTATAGCACAATCATACGTTATCTTCAGGTGTTATCAAAATGCTGCACATGAAAATATTTCAAAAGAAACTTGACTGCCTTGAAATTGTCCTCTGTCTCTTTAAGAAGCTCCCATTTCTTTCCAAAGACCCCCTTTCAGCTCATCACAACAGTGCTTCTGTGCATTTACAATCATTATTAGGAGCATTGGACTATGATGACATCAGCAGCTGCACAGTTCATCAAGTGTTTGCTAATTGCTGCTGCCACTAGTCTGGAGGAGCTGAGAGGGGGAGGGATGCTCTGTGAGGCGGAAGCTCAGCTGTGGACTATGGCTTCGAGGAGGAGCGTTGTGGAAATAGGTGAGACCAAGCGTTTAGGCACCCCTCAGTTGTCGCCATGGAAGATTAAAGGATTTTGCAAACATGCATGAAAGAATAAAGGCAACACTCCTGGTATGTTTTTAATGAGAATATTATTATAAAATGATGCAATTCTAATAAAGTGTGTGTGTGTGTTTTTTATTTTTATTTTTTATAGTTCATCCCCTTTAAAGTTTTACTGCCAGAGTTGTTCCAGAATACTTCAGACGTCTGACAGCAAAATACAATGTGTGGTACACGCCCTATAAACTGGTGGAAAGAACGAGGTTTATAGCAATCTAATTAGATGGCAGACATAATGGCAAAACCAGCAGAGTACTGGTTGGTGAAGATTATATGAGAGGCTTGTTTAATGAAAAATAGTTCTCCTCTTCATGGCCCTACCCTTCCACTGAAAAAACAATTCGGTCAAGCCAAATGGAGTCATAGGAACAATCATAGCAGTAACTTCACTGAATATTCAATGGGCAACTCAAGAGGCAGCCAGTAGAAGCATCTCTACCCATCATGTCCCAGTAATCACCAGTAATAAGTCGAGAGTACACCCTGAGGCTGAGGCAGACTTACGACAGAAGGTGTTGTCTCTCCAGTGGATGGGGACTCCTGCAGCAGCACACAGGTCAGCGTAGCTCTCTATGGCCTGGCACAGAGCCACTGTCTGGCCGCCGGTGGCACACAGGTCATACACACAGTTGTCAAAGAAGGATTCAGGAGGGACGACAGAGTGGCATGGCTTAAAGATTCCTGAGGAAGAGATGAGAAACAGAGAGCTGGTGAGCATCAGGTTCATCATCCTGCTCCACTCTCAGACCAGACAGACTGGGTCACTATTATTTTATTATTCTGACCGTTTTTCATCTCCAAGACATTTATGATTCAAGAACTTGAAATATCAAAGCTGACTAAAGTCACATTATGTAAAACCCTATGAAGTCCAATATATTATATATTTTGAACTTTTGTTTTGTCACCTGACCACTCCTCGTGTGTGTGTGTGCGTGTGTGTGTGTGTGTGTCTGCGTGTGTAGGTGTGTGTGTGTATGTGTTTAGGTGTGTGAGCATTAGTGTGTGTGAACCAACCATTGGGATCAGTGATCATTCCACAGCTGGTGGGCTTCTGGGCCTCTTCCTCCACATCTTCATCACAGTCCTCCTCTCCTCCACCATTAGTGCAGCTGCAAAAAAAAAAAAAAAAAAGTATCCATTAGAAAAGAAGAAGGAGATGGATTTCCATGTTCCTGGAGACACGACCAGATTCTCTACAGGCTGCAGACATTCCAGCTTCTTCAAAGACAGACGATATGAGGGAAGTATTTTGTGAATGTTTAATGAAATCTGGACCAGAAAGTCAAATACTCATCACTCACTCAGGCCGTGGGTCAGGCACCTGCCAGCTGTCTCCCAGGTCGTTGGTGTTAGAAGCTGCTGTGTTGTCTGGTTTTAAGTTGTCGTCTTTGGGCTCGCCGTTAAAATTTCCTGTCAGGAGCAGAAACATTTTCATTCCTTACAAAATGATGCACTTTGAGACTTTCTCCATTTGCCTTCTGACAAGAAGCTAGAATAATTCCCTTCTTACCACACATGCCACAAAGAAGGCCGTTGTATGAAGTTGGAACGGAGACGTCTGCGTGGTGATTCCCGTCAAACCGAACCCTCAGCCCAAACGATGTTTCCAGAACGACAAACTTTCCGCTCAGGTAGATTTGAACCCCACTGATGGAGGTAATGGGTGGAACAACTAAAGTCCCGTTGACCTGAAGAGAAAAGTCACATTCATGAAGCAGCACAGAAAGCAGTGCTTCTTACTCACACTTGACAGAAATTAACTGTTAAATAAAGCAAATCCTGCCAGTTTCCAGCGGTTGCAGTTGCGGTTCAGACCTGGACTTTGCGGCCTTCGCCGAGGATGAATGTCACATCGTTCACGTTGATGATCACAGCTCGGACGTAGGAGACCTTCTTGTTACTCCCTCTGTGCTCATTCATGGTGTCCACTGTGAAGTACGGCAACCCGGAGGACTCGTTGCAGGGCTTGGTTAGTGTGTAGGAGCAAGCACCCATGTAATTGTGGGTTTCCTTATCAAAGGTGGTGTAGTGAGGATCTCCAGACACTGAACAGATACCATTTCCTGAGAAAGAGAGGTTGGAATTGACCCTTCAGACACTCAGCCTTGAAAACCATGCTTTTCTATGCTACTGTGACTCGACAGCAGAGACCAACTTATTGGAATATTGATATCATAGACCCAGTACTACCAACATCCAGAAAACAGCTGACAGGTACCAGCATGTTGGATTCCTTGATGGTTTTGCGCGCTCCATATTTCCCAAACATTAATTCTTTATCTTTCATCACCAACACAAAGCAACATGTTAGCGACCATGTGACCTAACAAGCAGAGTGTGACCTGAGAAACTCCATGTGTTGTGCTGTCTGAAGAGGTCACATGATTCTGCCTCCCCAGAGTTCTGCTGACGCTGCGTTCCTGACCCATCGTGTGTTTCAATCCAGTCAATGTTTCCATCCTGTCTGTGTTCTCCAGGTCTCACAACTTTTAATCTCTGCAACGTCTATATCCACTCTATGTCTTTAAATTATTTACTAAGTAACTTTTTTGTTTATGTGTTTTGTACACTGCAAGTGAGGGAAGCACCTTAACCTGAACTACATTCAGGTTGTGCATGTGCTTAAGCTTCATTCTGTCCAGTGGTGGATCCCCCCAGGGACCCATTATGATGGTAGTGTGGAGCTAACATTGTAGCTACAACTTAAACTGTATTTTAAAAGTAAAGTTCCAAAAAATATGCATCATCCTCAGTCAGATTCACCAAGAATAAAGGGAAAAAAGTCCCTCTTTTTTTGATGGTGTAAATTGTACAAACACGTTTCCAGCTTTGATCTAGACTCATGCATCCATCCTGACTCACAAAGGATAACATCCATGAAAACAGGCTGGAGAAAATACGTCGAGGAAACTGCAGATCAATAACTCCCGCAGGCAACATTCATATTTAATAGCGTGTTGAAGTGCGTGTTGGTTTGACTGGTTTTAACTTACCCAGAGGTCGGCATTCATACTGCCCATCATGCAGCTGGCAGCTCTCTGTGCCGGGTCTGCAGCTGGTGTTGTAACATTGGAGCAAACCTCCTGCCCGACACTCACACTTCTGCTCACAACCCTCCAAGTACCAGTCCTCTCCCACCTGAAATCCATACGGACAAATAAATACTGATTTACTACTGCTTCAACTTGAAAAGCAGCATTCTGCAATGACTTTGTATCTTGATACTTTTAGACAAAATGTGTGTTACGTGCACCAACAAGGATCGTTCGAGGCCATTCTCACAAGGCTCTGAGCTTCGAGCTTTTCCTTCTCGTTGGCACCTTCATCTCACATTAACCAAGCAGTTGAATAGCTGACAAGCTATTTATTTATTTATTTTATTTATTTTTACAAAGATTCCATGGCAGGAACAAGTCATAGTAAATCAGTTCAAAACCGGTTCCACTTACAGGATAGTATGTCCCCTTGGCGTCCACACAGCCACAGTCTTTCAACGCAACACATCTGTCATCGCTGAGGATGAAGCCCGGGTTACACTCACAGCCCTCCACACACACGTCCTCACAGCCAGGCGGGCCGGCCACACCCAGACATGTTTCAGGACAGGAGCTCACACACAGGGAGTATGAGCTGTTAGGGGGACAGGCCAGGGCTGTATGGACAAACACAGAGGACACACAAAATGGTGGACAAAGGGGAGGCAAAGTTAAAGAATTAAGGGAATAGAGAAGGGAGGGGAGGATAAAGGTAAAATAGGAAACAGAAAAGAGAAAAACGATCAATAAGTCATGTGGATAATAAACCAGATAAAGAATAACCCAGTTCTTATGTTTTGATGATGAAACATCAAACCTGTTCTGTAGCAAAATGGAAAATATTTGTTTTAAATATAGTCAATATTTGAGCTCCGTATTCCAACTCCTCCCATATGTCTTCTGGGTTTGCCTTTTGTCACACTTACAGTAAATGTGTCAGATGTTGAAACCAAATATAGCATCAGACATATATGACCAGAGAAAATACAAAATGTAGTTTTCATTAAATTGTGATTACATTTACAAGTTGAAACACTGATAATCCAAACCCTTATTAAATCATAATCCACTAAAATGAATTTCTTTAAATTTACTGGCCACAACCAGGCCTGGTTACTGCCTGGCATCTTCAAAACATGCTGAAAACATCCAATTATTACGCGTAAGAGAAAGTTCAGATGACTTGCAATCTGAAGTGATTGCAAGTGATCCTGCGAATCCCTGCATAAACTGGGATTGAATTCATTAAAAATCATTTTAATGACGTTTGAATTCATTTAGAGAACTTGTATATGGAAAGTGAGAAGCTCAAAAAATAATGTATCAAAATACTTTTGTTTCAAGGGGAAGTTTGACATGTGATGCTCTCATTTGTTGATAGAACAGTCAAAGCTCTAAAAGCAGAAACTCAGCCCAGATTTGTGTACAGAAACAACACTGCAGCTGATCCTGTGTTAAGCCCTGCAGTCTCAGGCTTAAGCGCTAAGGCTAACAACCTGAAGAGAAGCTGTTCTGTTTACATAACTCTTCAGTATGCCTGACTGAAACTCCTCTGTCTGGATTAAATTAGCTTAATCTCTGAGTCAGTAGAGATAAAACTGTAGTTTATTAATTTATTTAACTTGACCTGATGCAACAAACATATGTAATGGTTCTATAAATGTGAGCACAATGGACTACACATATCAATTAAATACATTTGTAAACCATTTTTTAGGGATATTATTGGTATGGTTATTGATATCAGCCAATATTGGTTGTAAAATTTAATACCAGACATCGGCCATTCTGTGAAAATAATCTCACCGATATAAAAGGTGTTTTTATATGAAAACCAGTGACAGTGATGCACAATGTCAAATGTGCATTGTTTTTGAGTGTTGTCATTGTCTTAGAGAGGAAATGTCATAAAGCATATTGAAAATGGTGCCTCATTTTCAGCCTCATTTTTAGCATTTGCATTTGGTAGCTGGCTACATCGACAAAGATAATGTGGTATCTTAAATCTACAGAAGAGAAAGCCATACAGTTCCAGTAAGTAGGTAGGGGAAAAAAAAATATTGGTATTGGTTATCGGCCAAATGTATATCGGCATATTGGATATTGACCAAAAATCCAATATTGTGTGTCCCTACCATTTGTACATTTTCGGATGCTAACATAGCTAACAGTCGCTCGCCTTTATCTTCTCACATCTGTTTTAGTTCAGGCTGACTCACAGCAGAACACCAACGTCGGCCAGGAAAAAAACAAACCCTAATGAATAATGTACTGATACTTGAGCTGCAGAACTGAGAGAACCAAACTGCAGCTCCGGTGGCACCACACCAGCCAGGACTCTCACTGACTTTTAGATGAAAACAGACAAATGTTCCCGCTGTTGCTTTAGTGCTACCTCAGAACTAAAAGTGGTTTATCTGAAATATTTATACACATATCATTTTAATGACGTTTGAATTCATTTAGAGAACTTGTATATGGAAAGTGAGAAGCTCAAAATAAAAATAATGTATCAAAATACTTTTGTTTCAAGGGGAAGTTTGACATGTGGTGCTCTCATTTGTTGATAGAACAGACAAAGCTCTTTAGTAAGAACTACACCACTAATCAGAACATTTGATTTGTGTTCTGAACTGAGAAGACGACAGCTCTCTTCGGAAAACCTACGGCAAAAGTCTGGAGATCTCCACTGGTGCACCGTGGCTCCAGCACTCTGGCATGCGTCAGTGTAAGCCTGCAGCTGGTCACACAGCACATGCTCCTGGCCGTTGAACTGGCACATGTCGTAAAGGCAACTTTTGAAGAACGACGTGGGATCTACAACAGCGATGCAGTCCCTGAAAAAAAGGAAGACACACTTCGAAGACTGAAGGAGAACAATTTTCAGGACAGTCACCAAAAAAGCTGTTAAAATAGAACTCTGTAAGATCACGAGATCACAGAGGAGAGGAGACAGAGCTGAGCACCGATTAGTTCAGAAACATGTTTTGTTCTTCACACTGATCCAGTAGTTTTCAAAGAAGATTCTGTAAAATGTAAATCTGAATTGTTCAAACTATTCAAAACCTAAATCTATGAGCTCACAATGAAAAACAAAGATTCTGATTGGTCAGGCCCAGAGCTAACGTTCTGTCTGTTTGAAACTCTCACTTAGTTCCTGCAGCCAAGCCACAGGTATGAGGTGTGTGTGCATGTGTGTGTGCGTGTGTGCGCATGGCATGGCACGCCTCCTGGTTGTGTCTTGTGTCTCTCTCTGATGATGCCAGAATTGATTACTTTATTTGGAAGGATGTAGTGACCTCTAGTGGCTGCTACTATATCTGCATATATGTGAAGCCAGTAGGTTCAGTGTTCCAAAATAAGATATAAATGTAATCAGAAGCATGATAAGCAAACCTCAGTGCTTATCATGCTCTATGATAAGCATTTATTGCACTGTCTGCCTCAGTGCAATAAATGTTTTAATGGGATTTTTATTCTTCAGCAGCATTTGATCCCATTCCAAAACAAAACACCCAATCAGTGCAGGTTTATAGGTTCAGTTGTTGCAAAGCCAGGCATAAAAATGTCACATAACTGTATGCACATAAAACCTTCACGGGATTATTGCCGTCATATAACTTCCCCTTAATCTGCAACGTGCAATTTAAAGCATCGAAACCGGACAGAAAGTTGCTAACGCTGCTGAGGAAAGGGAGTTCCCACGAACATAAAGATCTGGTAAAAGATACACACCAACAGGATCCTCAGTGTTCTCTGTACAGCTCAAAGTACAGCTGTCCTGTTGAATCACTGATTCAAAAAAAAGTTTGTGTCTCACCTGAAGGGTCCAGTAGGATCTGTTATTTTGCCACATTTGTCTGGTTTCACCAACTCAGCCTCCAGGCTGGGGTCGCAGTCTGGGTCCGGCTTTGAGCCTTGGGTGCATCTACACGAACAACAGCCATCAAAATCAGCATGGACTTAACGGAAACAGCATGTTATATACTGCATGTTAGAGCAGGAAGAGACTGTTGAGAAACAAACTGAAATCGCCAAAGGGGATTTATTTTAATGTTTTTATTTCATGTTTTTCACAATGCGCACATGGCGTTAGCACATTATGATTACGAGATCAATGTATCAGTTGAATGTTAAGCTCACCTCTCATCCTCGTCCTCTTTCGTCTGCCAGCTGTTTCCAAAGTCATTGACGTTGTCTACCAGGGAGCCGTCTGGTTTAGTGAAGTCGTTGTTTGGGTTCCCATCGTAGTCGCCACAGAGACCACACATCTGGTCATAGTAAGAGCTGGATGAACACAAAGGGAAGAACACAAACCATGAAATCTTTAATGAAATGCACATGTGTAAGCAAAATTTGATCCAGGGATGCTTCAACTTCTGGTTTATTTCAGAGAATTATTGAAACACAGCTGCTAAGCTACTGAGCAGATCAACACAAGATACTTTACATATAATTTATGAAATACATTTACACCAACCTTGGTACTGAGATCTGGGCATAATGATTTCCATCCCAACGGACCCGGAGACCAAAGGTCGTCTCCAAGGTGACGTACTGACCGGCAAGACTGATTGACACGAGAGGAGAGGGGGAGTGAGGGAGAGCCACGCGCACACCGTTCACCTGCAAGAAAGATGGACGTCGAAAATGAGTTCAACAAGAACGAACTGAACAGAAGCGCAGGATGCTTATATTTAAAGAGCTGCCACAGTTAAACATGGAAAAAATAAAAATAAAGTAGCAGAAGAAGAAGAAGAACAAATACTGGTTTGAAGAAATAAATGTAGTGAACCAGAGGAATAAAACAGACACAGAGAAAGTAGAACATATGGTTTATGTGTGGCGATGACAATTTCGATATTTTCTATGAGAAATATTAGCTACTACACTGGTCAACAGCCAAAAAATTGTCCAAGGTTTTTCAGCTGCTTAAGGGTCATGTTGATGAGCTGAATCCTAAAATCACGTTGGTTTAGTGCTTATTGTTGCATTTACAGAAATCCAAGTTTGTAACGTTTAATTAAGACACTGTTACAAATCAAGTTTTTCTTTTAAAACCTTTTTTGGATGAGAAATATTAACAGAAATGAACAGATAAATGTCAGAAAAATGTCAATTTTCAATCAATCAAATTAGAATAAAAACCTGACCTGATTGAAAAAAATTGATTTCATTTTTGGATTCAGTGATGCAAAATATTCAGTTGAAAAACCCCAAAAATATGCAAACAGTGAATAGAGTGGAAGCTACAGTACGGACCAGAGTTCTCCTGGACTTCATCAGGGTGACGGTGATTCCGTTCACAGTGATGTAGAGTTTTCTCAGGTAGGACAGGCCTGGCCCTCCCCGCTCCTCATTCTTGGCCTCCACAGAGAACCACGGACCTGCACAAGTAACACTCAGGTCACTCTGGGTTCATTCACCACTCACTCATTTTACTGGATGTTACAATTGCTGCTGACAAATAAGTCGCAGAAATTTCTCATACATTCAGCAATATGGAGCAGCAGCAACACATGTGCTCACATTTTCATCTGACCATCTATTCATATCTTTTTAAGTTGTTCTGACTAATCTTACAAACAAAGACAGAAAGTGTAAGCACAGCATTAAACCCTTTTGGTTTAGTATTAAATGATGTAGACATGAAGCAGCATCGTTCCTACCTGTGTTGTTATTGCACGACCTGGCCAGTGTGTAAGTGCAGGTTCCCATAAAGCTGTAGAACTTCTTGTCAAACGTGTTGTAGTGGGGATCCCCAGAAACCACACAGTCCTGTGAGCCTGAGCAAGCATGGAAAAAGCCTCAAGAGACAAAGCTAGAGCAACCAGCAAAGCATGAATGAATTCTTTCTTTGTTGTCAGAAAGAGTCAGGCTTCGCTGAGCAATCGTCAGCAGTTGCTCTGTAGCACTCTGCTTCTTTCTCCTGCTACTCTCCACTTATGAAAGATTTAAAGTTATTGTTTCTATTAATTAACTGTCATTACTCAGCCAGAGAGGAATTTTTCAAATTTTGAAGTTAAATTTGAATAACATAAGCCATAGATCAACAAGAATTGCTTATGCTCCTTTTTATTTATTAAGATGTTCAAGATTTTTCAAGTTCTCAGCCGGAGGTACGAAAGATCAACTCTGAAGTCAAACTTCTGACCTGGAAAATTGGACTTCAAAATCCAATATGGCTACCACACATATGTGGTGACCAATTTGGCAAATGGCAAAGATAACTTCATCATTTCCAGTGAATTATGTGTGATTTTTAAATTAAATTTACAGAACAGTGTTGCAGTCTTGCTGACTGTTATCCACATTCACAGAGATGGATTTTCTTTTTGGTCTAGAGTGTTTGAGTGCAGATTGGTTTGTTGGTTAAACCATTCACCATCTTCAGATGATATGATGTGTATGTGTGTATTTACCGGTGGGATAGCAGCCCAGCTCTCCATCCTGCACTTTGCACTCGTGCATCGGGGGACACTCTGACGCCTCACAGGTAACAAATGGAGCATTACACTTGCACTTCAGCTTACAGTCGTCCACATAGAACTCCTCTCCAGGCTGAAACATATGAAAAAAATAGTTGTGAATCTGACAAGCAGTAAAATTTTGCCAGCTATGTTGGTGTTCTCTGACCATTTAACTCTGAACAATTGACCATTTAAGATCAATTTGTTCATTTGGATAAGAAACAAAAAAAAAGTTATACTAACTTATAGATAAGCAAACGTATCTATACAAATTTATTTGAGAACAATGTTTTCAATTCAGCTGAGTCAACAAATGGAAGTGGACTACAGTCCATTGAAATAGCTGTGGGTCTCTTATGCCAAACTCCATTTACCTCGTAATACTGGCCATTTGTGTGATTGCAGCCACAAGTATTACTTGCGACACACTTGCCAGCACTTAGCACAAAACCAGGATCACACACACACGCCTCAGAGCACGGTCCACCACAGGAGGAAGGTTTTCCAGAGCACGTCTCCTGACAGGGGTCAGCACAGGGCTCATAGTGGCTGTTAGGGGGGCATTTCAGTGCTAAAAGAAAACAGTCAAAAGTCAATTATAGGGGCAGAATATCAGTTGTTGTCTTTTTATAAGTAGTGGCTGTTAGCCAGGCAGATTTTAAGCTAACTTTGTTCATGTAAAGTCTGGGTGATTTTACCGATTCAGATTGAACAAAATATCTCTACGAAGAAAACAAGTCAGTTTTCTGTTAGGACAGAGAATCTAAAAACTCCACCGAAATGAAAAAGTTGAACCTAAGGGCTGAAAGAGAAGTTGTAATTATGGGTAAATTACCTTAAAACCAAGAAACAAAGAAAAAAGATAATACATTGTTTTATGAAGTCATTTGCATCTATAATGCCCTAAAACACATCCATCATGTTACAAACCTGCAGTCTAATGCAAACTGCATAAAGTGTCCACTGAATATCAAAACCTATCAAATATTGATCATTGCTAATCATATAGATCATGTGCTGGAATCTGTGGTGAAGTCCATTTTGAGCATTATAAAGCACACTAGCCTTCACTCTGACCTCCTTTCTAGTCGTTCACAGCTTAATACTCACGACAAAAAGTTTCATTCCTCCAGGGTCCAATGGCGACTCCACGGTCCTGGCACTCAGTGACATAGGCCTCAATAGCTTCACACAGAAATGGGTCTGGCTCCATCCAGTTCACACAGGTCAAACACACAGTCCCTGAAGTAGTTCTGAAAACCAACAATTCATTTGCTGAGTTACAATACTAATGGTGTCTCTCATTTAATGTTAAAATGTGTCACAGAAAGCAGCAGCAACCATTCAGTCACCAAAGGACTCAGTTTGACTGTGAAGATTTCCTCATAAATCACATTGTTTTACAAAGCTGTTATAATCTTTGGTTTGTACAACATCAGTAAAGCTGCCTGGCAGATCAAATGTTCCTACTAGACTCCACATACGTTTGGGTTGACTTTGGGGTGGCATGCGGCAAAGGGGCCGTTTTTATCCAGAAGGATCCCACAGTATCCAGAGGTCTGATAAAGGTCCTCCTCTTCTTGATCACATCCAGGAATGGTGGTGTTAGGTTCTGATTACACCTGTCAATACAAGTTGGGTTCATCAATTAGTCTTCATTACGCTAATTGTACTGAACTCAATAAACTGAATCAATAATGCAGTATCAAAAGGAAGATGAAGTCAATTGAAAAAGTCCTAAAGTTAGATTTGAAAACTCATTGACTCTCTTTTGTCATGACATGTACATATGTTTAAAGAAACAAGGTTTTGTTGGTTTTCAGGATCTGTCTTTATTCGTCCAATACTCACTCTGGATCAGTGTTCCAGCTGTGACCAAAGTCATTTGGATTGCTTGTCAAGGATCCATCTGGTTTACGGAAGTCGTCTTTAGTGTTTCCATTGTAATCTCCACACAGTCCACACAGTTTGTCCTCATAGCTGTAGTTCACAGAAAATATCTGGTCATTAGTTCTGTAGTACTGTAAGACGGTTTCAAGTTTCCTCAGAAATATTTGTGACTTTTTGTCTCAGTGTCTCATGATGTCCATGAATTTGAGACCCGTGAAGCATAAAGTGCCTGCTTCCCTAGAAGATAAGAGGAAAAGTCAGCATCAGTCAGTAAGAATGAGGTCATCACTCACTCCTTGATCACTTTGATGTCCATGAAGTGGTTTCCATCATAGCGAACAGTTAAGCCAAAGTCTGTGGACACGGTGTAATGTATTCCTGACTTGAAGACAGAGACACCAGGGGACGGACTCACTGGAAGGTTTACATTAGTCCCATTCACCTGGATGGAATAAGCAGGTGTGGTAAAACACAAAACAAGAAATGATGTCATTAAAACACAGAAAATGATTTTTCTTCAATTACCAAATTGAAAACTTTCAAACTTCATTCCTACCTGCACAATTCCATCTTTGAGAATGGAGATCTTCATCGTGTACACATATACATGAACAGCCTTGACATAGGAGATGGTGGGCCTGTTGTATCGATTTTCGTTGTCTGTGTGGACCTCAAAGTACGGCAGACTTGTGGTGTTGCAAGGTGCAGACATCAGATAGCTGCAGTTTCCCATGAAGTTGTATTTGTGTTTGTCAAAGGTTGTGTAGTGAGGATCTCCACTTGCTATGCATGTTGATGTACCTAGGGGAAAGGAAAACTACAAGCTACACATCACATGACTCTTAGCAGTGCTTTCTGATACATACACATTTTGTTCTAAATATTGTAGTGCATGAAACTTACATCTGTTACAAGATTGAGAGCTAAAGAGTTGTTGAAAATGAAATTATTTGAAGCTCACTGAGGCATCATTACCTTTAGGATAGCAGCTAGAAACACCATCAACCTCTCGACACTCTTCAGTTGGATCACAGGAGTTATCAACACATTCAAAAGTGTAGTTCCCCAAACAGCGACACAGCTTTGAACATCCATCTCCTGAAACGAGCTCACCAGGCTGAAATCAGAAGAAAAACAAGGGATCAGGAACTGGATTTACCTGGAGCAGAAGAGCCAGAAGCTGTTTCTCATGTTCCTCTGAGTATTTTGTCCTTTTTAAATTAGATCTATGTTCTCATCAAAATTCCATCTGACCTCATAATAATTCTTGTCATCATCCAAGCAGCCACATTTATCCAGAGGAACACACTTTCGTCCCTTGAAGACAAATCCAGGTTTGCAGAAGCATCCACTGATGCAGGAGCCAGAACAGTTGGTGGAAGGTTCCATGCATGTAGGGATACAAGCTGGACCACAATCTATGTACTCTGCATTAGGTGGACACGGTTCTGTTCACAGAAACAGGAAAACAGCAGATGAAACCATCTGTTTAGAAAACGTAAAATGTATTAAATCATTTTTGTCAGAAAAGTGAAGGTTGTCCAATATGTATCATACGGGATGTTGCTGGTTTAGGTGTAGTTGGACGAGGAGTTGGTGGTTTAGTTGGTGGAGGAGTTGGTTCTGTGCACATAAAAATAATAACTCATGAAAACAGCAGAAGAAATGAAATCATAAAATCAGATCAACTTGTTGGTTCTGGTATTGGCTGAGTTGATGTTCTTGTGGTAACTGTTCTCTTTACTCTAAGAGGAGGTAAACTTACTAGGATAGCAGCCCAACTCTCCATCCTGCACTTTGCACTCGTGCATCGGGGGACACGCTGACGCCACACAGGTAACAAATGGAGCATTACACTTGCACTTCAGTTTACAGTCCTCCAAATAGAACTCATCTCCAGGCTGAAACAAACACAAAGCAACTCAAAATCTCACACTGCAAAATTGTGGAAACAGCAGCTGGTTGTCTCTTAGCAAATGTTCATTTAACAAAGACAAATGTCTGTTTTCTGTATGGACAGTGGCCTGAAAACAGCAAATGCATGTTGCACAATGAAGATAAATGGTTTTAGAGAATGATCATATTCTGGGATAAATATGAGATTAGAAAATAAACAGAGGAAGTTGCTACAGGTTTAATTTTTCTAACTCCTGCTCTGCAGTTCCTCTCATCTGTCAAAGTGTTTCATCAGCAATTCACATCTTGGACATGACAGCAAAATATCTGCTATGACATTAATAGGGACATGTTTAATTATCAAGCAAGAAAAACCCAAAGACAAAGTTGGACAGAGGACAGGGCGAGAGACTCATATAATTGCCCAACCATAACGGCTGAAATATTGCTTATTGCTTTAAGGAAAATTTATATAAATGCTGCTTCAGACCATGTTCAGGACTGGAGAAGATCATATCTGCTACTTCTACTTCAGCACTTTAAAGTGCTGAAGTAGAAAGCACATTCCAGAGTAAAGTTCCCCAAACAGAGACACAACTTTGCCCTAGAAAGTATTAAGTAAACGTAGCTTAATAGAAATACAGCCACAATTACCTCGTAATACTGGCCATTTGTGTGATTGCAGCCACAAGTATTACTTGCGACACACTTGCCAGCACTTAGCACAAAACCAGGATCACACACACACGCCTCAGAGCACGGTCCACCACAGGAGGAAGGTTTTCCAGAGCACGTCTCCTGACAGGGGTCAGCACAGGGCTCATAGTGGCTGTTAGGGGGCATTTCAGTGCTAAAGGAAAACAGTCAAAAGTCAATTATAGGGGCAGAATATCAGTTGTTGTCTTTTTATAAGTAGTGGCTGTTAGCCAGGCAGATTTTAAGCTAACTTTGTTCATCTAAAGTCTGGGTGATTTTTACCGGTTCAGATTGAACAAAATATTTCTACGAAGAAAACAAGTCAGTTTTCTGTTAGGACAGAGAATCTAAAAACTCCACCGAAATGAAAAAGTTGAACCTAAGGGCTGAAAGAGAAGCTGTAATTATGGGTAAATTACCTTAAAACCAAGAAACAAAGAAAAAAGATAATACATTGTTTTATGAAGTCATTAGGATCTATAATGCCCTAAAACACATCCATCATGTTACAAAGCTGCAGTCTAATGCAAACTGCATAAAGTGTCCACTGAATATCAAAACCTATCAAATATTGATCATTGCTAATCATATAGATCATGTGCTGGAATCTGTGGTGAAGTCCATTTTGAGCATTATAAAGCACACTAGCCTTCACTCTGACCTCCTTCTAGTCGTTCACAGCTTAATACTCACGACAAAAAGTTTCATTCCTCCAGGGTCCAATGGCGACTCCACGGTCCTGGCACTCAGTGACATAGGCCTCAATAGCTTCACACAGAATGGGTCTGGCTCCATCCAGTTCACACAGGTCAAACACACAGTCCCTGAAGTAGTTCTGAAAACCAACAATTCATTTGCTGAGTTACAATACTAATGGTGTCTCTCATTTAATGTTAAATGTGTCACAGAAAGCAGCAGCAACCATTCAGTCACCAAAGGACTCAGTTTGACTGTGAAGATTTCCTCATAAATCACATTGTTTTACAAAGCTGTTATAATCTTTGGTTTGTACAACATCAGTAAAGCTGCCTGGCAGATCAAATGTTCCTACTAGACTCCACATACGTTTGGGTTGACTTTGGGGTGGCATGCGGCGAAGGGGCCGTTTTTATCCAGAAGGATCCCACAGTATCCAGAGGTCTGATAAAGGTCCTCCTCTTCTTGATCACATCCAGGAATGGTGGTGTTAGGTTTCTGATTACACCTGTCAATACAAGTTGGGTTCATCAATTAGTCTTCATTACGCTAATTGTACTGAACTCAATAAACTGAATCAATCATTAAGTATCAAAAGGAAGATGAAGTCAATTGAAAAAGTCCTAAAGTTAGATTTGAAAACTCAATAACTCTCTTTTGTAATGATTTAAACATATTTTTAAAGAAACAAGGTTTTGTTGGTTTTCAGGATCAGTCTTTATTCGTCCAATACTCACTCTGGATCAGTGTTCCAGCTGTGACCAAAGTCATTTGGATTGCTTGTCAAGGATCCATCTGGTTTACGGAAGTCGTCTTTAGTGTTTCCATTGTAATCTCCACACAGTCCACACAGTTTGTCCTCATAGCTGTAGTTCACAGAAAATATCTGGTCATTAGTTCTGTAGTACTGTAAGACGGTTTCAAGTTTCCTCAGAAATATTTGTGACTTTTTGTCTCAGTGTCTCATGATGTCCATGAATTTGAGACCCGTGAAGCATAAAGTGCCTACTCCCCTAGAAGATCAGAGGAAAAGTCAGCATCAGTCAGTAAGAATGAGGTCATCACTCACTCCTTGATCACTTTGATGTCCATGAAGTGGTTTCCATCATAGCGAACAGTTAAGCCAAAGTCTGTGGACACGGTGTAATGTATTCCTGACTTGAAGACAGAGACACCAGGGGACGGACTCACTGGAAGGTTTACATTAGTCCCATTCACCTGGATGGAAAAAGCAGGTGTGGTAAAACACAAAACAAGAAATGATGTCATTAAAACACAGCAAATGATTTTTCTTCAATTACCAAATTGAAAACTTTCAAACTTCATTCCTACCTGCACAATTCCATCTTTGAGAATGGAGATCTTCATCGTGTACACATATACATGAACAGCCTTGACATAGGAGATGGTGGGCCTGTTGTATCGGTTTTCGTTGTCTGTGTGGACCTCAAAGTACGGCAGACTTGTGGTGTTGCAAGGTGCAGACATCAGATAGCTGCAGTTTCCCATGAAGTTGTATTTGTGTTTGTCAAAGGTTGTGTAGTGAGGATCTCCACTTGCTATGCATGTTGATGTACCTAGGGGAAAGGAAAACTACAAGCTACACATCACATGACTCTTAGCAGTGCTTTCTGATACATACACATTTTGTTCTAAATATTGTAGTGCATGAAACTTACTTCTGTTACAAGATTGAGAGCTAAAGAGTTGTTGAAAATGAAATTATTTGAAGCTCACTGAGGCATCATTACCTTTAGGATAGCAGCTAGAAACACCATCAACCTCTCGACACTCTTCAGTTGGATCACAGGAGTTATCAACACATTCAAAAGTGTAGTTCCCCAAACAGCGACACAGCTTTGAACATCCATCTCCTGAAACGAGCTCACCAGGCTGAAATCAGAAGAAAAACAAGGCATCAGGAACTGGATTCACCTGGAGCAGAAGAGCCAGAAGCTGTTTCTCATGTTCCTCTGAGTATTTTGTCCTTTTTAAATTAGATCTATGTTCTCTTCAAAATGCCATCTGACCTCATAATAATTCTTGTCATCATCCAAGCAGCCACATTTATCCAGAGGAACACACTTTCGTCCCTTGAAGACAAATCCAGGTTTGCAGAAGCATCCACTGATGCAGGAGCCAGAACAGTTGGTGGAAGGTTCCATGCATGTAGGGATACAAGCTGGACCACAATCTATGTACTCTGCATTAGGTGGACACGGTTCTGTTCACAGAAACAGGAAAACAGCAGATGAAACCATCTGTTTAGAAAACGTAAAATGTATTAAATCATTTTTGTCAGAAAAAGTGAAGGTTGTCCAATATGTATCATACGGGATGTTGCTGGTTTAGGTGTAGTTGGACGAGGAGTTGGTGGTTTCGTTGGTGGAGGAGTTGGTTCTGTTCACATAAAAATAATAACTCATGAAAACAGCAGAAGAAATGAAATCATAAAATCAGATCAACTTGTTGGTTCTGGCATTGGTTGAGTTGATGTTCTTGTGGTAACTGTTCTCTTTACTCTAAGAGGAGGTAAACTTACTAGGATAGCAGCCCAACTCTCCATCCTGCACTTTGCACTCGTGCATCGGGGGACACGCTGACGCCACACAGGTAACAAATGGAGCATTACACTTGCACTTCAGTTTACAGTCCTCCAAATAGAACTCATCTCCAGGCTGAAACAAACACAAAGCAACTCAAAATCTCACACTGCAAAATTGTGGAAACAGCAGCTGGTTGTCTCTTAGCAAATGTTCATTTAACAAAGACAAATGTCTGTTTTCTGTATGGACAATGGCCTGAAAACAGCAAATGCATGTTGCACAGTGAAGATAAATGGTTTTAGAGAATGATCATATTCTGGGTTAAATATGAGATTAGAAAATAAACAGAGGAAGTTGCTACAGGTTTAATTTTTCTAACTCCTGCTCTGCAGTTCCTCTCATCTGTCAAAGTGTTTCATCAGCAATTCACATCTTGGACATGACAGCAAAATATCTGCTATGACAATGTTAGGGACGTGTTTAATCATTAAGCAAGAAAAACCCAAAGACAAAGTTGGACAGAGGACAGGGCGAGAGACTCATATAATTGCCCAACCATAACGGCTGAAATATTGCTGATTGCTTTAAGGAAAATTTATATAAATGCTGCTTCAGACCATGTTCAGGACTGGAGAAGATCATATCTGCTACTTCTACTTCAGCACTTTAAAGTGCTGAAGTAGAAAGCACATTCAAGAGTAAAGTTCCCCAAACAGAGACACAACTTTGCCCTAGAAAGTATTAAGTAAACGTAGCTTAATAGAAATACAGCCACAATTACCTCGTAATACTGGCCATTTGTGTGATTGCAGCCACAAGTATTACTTGCGACACACTTGCCAGCACTTAGCACAAAACCAGGATCACACACACACGCCTCAGAGCACGGTCCACCACAGGAGGAAGGTTTTCCAGAGCACGTCTCCTGACAGGGGTCAGCACAGGGCTCATAGTGGCTGTTAGGGGGGCATTTCAGTGCTAAAAGAAAACAGTCAAAAGTCAATTATAGGGGCAGAATATCAGTTGTTGTCATTTTATAAGTAGTGGCTGTTAGCCAGGCAGATTTTAAGCTAACTTTGTTCATGTAAAGTCTGGGTGATTTTTACCGATTCAGATTGAACAAAATATCTCTACGAAGAAAACAAGTCAGTTTTCTGTTAGGACAGAGAATCTAAAAACTCCACCGAAATGAAAAAGTTGAACCTAAGGGCTGAAAGAGAAGCTGTAATTATGGGTAAATTACCTTAAAACCAAGAAACAAAGAAAAAGATAATACATTGTTTTATGAAGTCATTAGGATCTATAATGCCCTAAAACACATCCATCATGTTACAAAGCTGCAGTCTAATGCAAACTGCATAAAGTGTCCACTGAATATCAAAACCTATCAAATATTGATCATTGCTAATCATATAGATCATGTGCTGGAATCTGTGGTGAAGTCCATTTTGAGCATTATAAAGCACACTAGCCTTCACTCTGACCTCCTTCTAGTCGTTCACAGCTTAATACTCACGACAAAAAGTTTCATTCCTCCAGGGTCCAATGGCGACTCCACGGTCCTGGCACTCAGTGACATAGGCCTCAATAGCTTCACACAGAATGGGTCTGGCTCCATCCAGTTCACACAGGTCAAACACACAGTCCCTGAAGTAGTTCTGAAAACCAACAATTCATTTGCTGAGTTACAATACTAATGGTGTCTCTCATTTAATGTTAAATGTGTCACAGAAAGCAGCAGCAACCATTCAGTCACCAAAGGACTCAGTTTGACTGTGAAGATTTCCTCATAAATCACATTGTTTTACAAAGCTGTTATAATCTTTGGTTTGTACAACATCAGTAAAGCTGCCTGGCAGATCAAATGTTCCTACTAGACTCCACATACGTTTGGGTTGACTTTGGGGTGGCATGCGGCGAAGGGGCCGTTTTTATCCAGAAGGATCCCACAGTATCCAGAGGTCTGATAAAGGTCCTCCTCTTCTTGATCACATCCAGGAATGGTGGTGTTAGGTTTCTGATTACACCTGTCAATACAAGTTGGGTTCATCAATTAGTCTTCATTACGCTAATTGTACTGAACTCAATAAACTGAATCAATAATGCAGTATCAAAAGGAAGATGAAGTCATTTGAAAAAGTCCTAAAGTTAGATTTGAAAACTCATTGACTCTCTTTTGTCATGACATGCACATGTGTTTAAAGAAACAAGGTTTTGTTGGTTTTCAGGATCTGTCTTTATTCGTCCAATACTCACTCTGGATCAGTGTTCCAGCTGTGACCAAAGTCATTTGGATTGCTTGTCAAGGATCCATCTGGTTTACGGAAGTCGTCTTTAGTGTTTCCATTGTAATCTCCACACAGTCCACACAGTTTGTCCTCATAGCTGTAGTTCACAGAAAATATCTGGTCATTAGTTCTGTAGTACTGTAAGACGGTTTCAAGTTTCCTCAGAAATATTTGTGACTTTTTGTCTCAGTGTCTCATGATGTCCATGAATTTGAGACCCGTGAAGCATAAAGTGCCTGCTTCCCTAGAAGATAAGAGGAAAAGTCAGCATCAGTCAGTAAGAATGAGGTCATCACTCACTCCTTGATCACTTTGATGTCCATGAAGTGGTTTCCATCATAGCGAACAGTTAAGCCAAAGTCTGTGGACACGGTGTAATGTATTCCTGACTTGAAGACAGAGACACCAGGGGACGGACTCACTGGAAGGTTTACATTAGTCCCATTCACCTGGATGGAAAAAGCAGGTGTGGTAAAACACAAAACAAGAAATGATGTCATTAAAACACAGAAAATGATTTTTCTTCAATTACCAAATTGAAAACTTTCAAACTTCATTCCTACCTGCACAATTCCATCTTTGAGAATGGAGATCTTCATCGTGTACACATATACATGAACAGCCTTGACATAGGAGATGGTGGGCCTGTTGTATCGGTTTTCGTTGTCTGTGTGGACCTCAAAGTACGGCAGACTTGTGGTGTTGCAAGGTGCAGACATCAGATAGCTGCAGTTTCCCATGAAGTTGTATTTGTGTTTGTCAAAGGTTGTGTAGTGAGGATCTCCACTTGCTATGCATGTTGATGTACCTAGGGGAAAGGAAAACTACAAGCTACACATCACATGACTCTTAGCAGTGCTTTCTGATACATACACATTTTGTTCTAAATCGTAGTGCATGAAACTTACTTCTGTTACAAGATTGAGAGCTAAAGAGTTGTTGAAAATGAAATTATTTAAAGCTCACTGAGGCATCATTACCTTTAGGATAGCAGCTAGAAACACCATCAACCTCTCGACACTCTTCAGTTGGATCACAGGAGTTATCAACACATTCAAAAGTGTAGTTCCCCAAACAGCGACACAGCTTTGAACATCCATCTCCTGAAACGAGCTCACCAGGCTGAAATCAGAAGAAAAACAAGGCATCAGGAACTGGATTCACCTGGAGCAGAAGAGCCAGAAGCTGTTTCTCATGTTCCTCTGAGTATTTTGTCCTTTTTAAATTAGATCTATGTTCTCTTCAAAATGCCATCTGACCTCATAATAATTCTTGTCATCATCCAAGCAGCCACATTTATCCAGAGGAACACACTTTCGTCCCTTGAAGACAAATCCAGGTTTGCAGAAGCATCCACTGATGCAGGAGCCAGAACAGTTGGTGGAAGGTTCCATGCATGTAGGGATACAAGCTGGACCACAATCTATGTACTCTGCATTAGGAGGACACGGTTCTGTTCACAGAAACAGGAAAACAGCAGATGAAATCATCTGTTTAGAAAACGTAAGCCAGGTATTAAATCATTTTTGTCAGAAAAAGTGTAGGTTGTCCAATATGTATCATACGGGATGTTGCTGGTTTAGGTGTAGTTGGACGAGGAGTTGGTGGTTTAGTTGGTGGAGGAGTTGGTTCTGTTCACATAAAAATAATAACTCATGAAAACAGCAGAAGAAATGAGATCATAAAATCAGATCAACTTGTTGGTTCTGGTATTGGTTGAGTTGATGTTCTTGTGGTAACTGTTCTCTTTACTCTAAGAGGAGGTAAACTTACTAGGATAGCAGCCCAACTCTCCATCCTGCACTTTGCACTCGTGCATCGGGGGACACGCTGACGCCACACAGGTAACAAATGGAGCATTACACTTGCACTTCAGTTTACAGTCCTCCAAATAGAACTCATCTCCAGGCTGAAACAAACACAAAGCAACTCAAAATCTCACACTGCAAAATTGTGGAAACAGCAGCTGGTTGTCTCTTAGCAAATGTTCATTTAACAAAGACAAATGTCTGTTTTCTGTATGGACAATGGCCTGAAAACAGCAAATGCATGTTGCACAGTGAAGATAAATGGTTTTAGAGAATGATCATATTCTGGGTTAAATATGAGATTAGAAAATAAACAGAGGAAGTTGCCACAGGTTTAATTTTTCTAACTCCTGCTCTGCAGTTCCTCTCATCTGTCAAAGTGTTTCATCAGCAATTCACATCTTGGACATGACAGCAAAATATCTGCTATGACAATAGGGACATGTTTAATTATCAAGCAAGAAAAACCCAAAGACAAAGTTGGACAGAGGACAGGGCGAGAGACTCATATAATTGCCCAAAAATAATGGCTGAATTATTGCTGATTGCTTTAAGGAAAATTTATATGAATGTTGCTTCAGACCATGTTCAGGATTGGAGAAGAAGTACTTTAGCACTTTGAAGTGCTGAAGTAGAAAGCACATTCAAGAGTAAAGTTCCCCAAACAGAGACACAACTTTGCCCTAGAAAGTATTAAGTAAACGTAGCTTAATAGAAATACAGCCACAATTACCTCGTAATACTGGCCATTTGTGTGATTGCAGCCACAAGTATTACTTGCGACACACTTGCCAGCACTTAGCACAAAACCAGGATCACACACACGCCTCAGAGCACGGTCCACCACAGGAGGAAGGTTTTCCAGAGCACGTCTCCTGACAGGGGTCAGCACAGGGCTCATAGTGGCTGTTAGGGGGGCATTTCAGTGCTAAAAGAAAACAGTCAAAAGTCAATTATAGGGGCAGAATATCAGTTGTTGTCATTTTATAAGTAGTGGTTGTTAGCCAGGCAGATTTTAAGCTAACTTTGTTCATCTAAAGTCTGGGTGATTTTTACCGATTCAGATTGAACAAAATATTTCTACGAAGAAAACAAGTCAGTTTTCTGTTAGGACAGAGAATCTAAAAACTCCACCGAAATGAAAAAGTTGAACCTAAGGGCTGAAAGAGAAGCTGTAATTATGGGTAAATTACCTTAAAACCAAGAAACAAAGAAAAAAGATAATACATTGTTTTATGAAGTCATTAGGATCTATAATGCCCTAAAACACATCCATCATGTTACAAAGCTGCAGTCTAATGCAAACTGCATAAAGTGTCCACTGAATATCAAAACCTATCAAATATTGATCATTGCTAATCATATAGATCATGTGCTGGAATCTGTGGTGAAGTCCATTTTGAGCATTATAAAGCACACTAGCCTTCACTCTGACCTCCTTCTAGTCGTTCACAGCTTAATACTCACGACAAAAAGTTTCATTCCTCCAGGGTCCAATGGCGACTCCACGGTCCTGGCACTCAGTGACATAGGCCTCAATAGCTTCACACAGAATGGGTCTGGCTCCATCCAGTTCACACAGGTCAAACACACAGTCCCTGAAGTAGTTCTGAAAACCAACAATTCATTTGCTGAGTTACAATACTAATGGTGTCTCTCATTTAATGTTAAATGTGTCACAGAAAGCAGCAGCAACCATTCAGTCACCAAAGGACTCAGTTTGACTGTGAAGATTTCCTCATAAATCACATTGTTTTACAAAGCTGTTATAATCTTTGGTTTGTACAACATCAGTAAAGCTGCCTGGCAGATCAAATGTTCCTACTAGACTCCACATACGTTTGGGTTGACTTTGGGGTGGCATGCGGCGAAGGGGCCGTTTTTATCCAGAAGGATCCCACAGTATCCAGAGGTCTGATAAAGGTCCTCCTCTTCTTGATCACATCCAGGAATGGTGGTGTTAGGTTTCTGATTACACCTGTCAATACAAGTTGGGTTCATCAATTAGTCTTCATTACGCTAATTGTACTGAACTCAATAAACTGAATCAATAATGCAGTATCAAAAGGAAGATGAAGTCAATTGAAAAAGTCCTAAAGTTAGATTTGAAAACTCATTGACTCTCTTTTGTCATGACATGCACATGTGTTTAAAGAAACAAGGTTTTGTTGGTTTTCAGGATCTGTCTTTATTCGTCCAATACTCACTCTGGATCAGTGTTCCAGCTGTGACCAAAGTCATTTGGATTGCTTGTCAAGGATCCATCTGGTTTACGGAAGTCGTCTTTAGTGTTTCCATTGTAATCTCCACACAGTCCACACAGTTTGTCCTCATAGCTGTAGTTCACAGAAAATATCTGGTCATTAGTTCTGTAGTACTGTAAGACGGTTTCAAGTTTCCTCAGAAATATTTGTGACTTTTTGTCTCAGTGTCTCATGATGTCCATGAATTTGAGACCCGTGAAGCATAAAGTGCCCTTCCCTAGAAGATAAGAGGAAAAGTCAGCATCAGTCAGTAAGAATGAGGTCATCACTCACTCCTTGATCACTTTGATGTCCATGAAGTGGTTTCCATCATAGCGAACAGTTAAGCCAAAGTCTGTGGACACGGTGTAATGTATTCCTGACTTGAAGACAGAGACACCAGGGGACGGACTCACTGGAAGGTTTACATTAGTCCCATTCACCTGGATGGAAAAAGCAGTGTGGTAAAACACAAAACAAGAAATGATGTCATTAAAACACAGCAAATGATTTTTCTTCAATTACCAAATTGAAAACTTTCAAACTTCATTCCTACCTGCACAATTCCATCTTTAAGAATGGAGATCTTCATCGTGTACACATATACATGAACAGCCTTGACATAGGAGATGGTGGGCCTGTTGTATCGGTTTTCGTTGTCTGTGTGGACCTCAAAGTACGGCAGACTTGTGGTGTTGCAAGGTGCAGACATCAGATAGCTGCAGTTTCCCATGAAGTTGTATTTGTGTTTGTCAAAGGTTGTGTAGTGAGGATCTCCACTTGCTATGCATGTTGATGTACCTAGGGGAAAGGAAAACTACAAGCTACACATCACATGACTCTTAGCAGTGCTTTCTGATACATACACATTTTGTTCTAAATATTGTAGTGCATGAAACTTACATCTGTTACAAGATTGAGAGCTAAAGAGTTGTTGAAAATGAAATTATTTGAAGCTCACTGAGGCATCATTACCTTTAGGATAGCAGCTAGAAACACCATCAACCTCTCGACACTCTTCAGTTGGATCACAGGAGTTATCAACACATTCAAAAGTGTAGTTCCCCAAACAGCGACACAGCTTTGAACATCCATCTCCTGAAACGAGCTCACCAGGCTGAAATCAGAAGAAAAACAAGGCATCAGGAACTGGATTCACCTGGAGCAGAAGAGCCAGAAGCTGTTTCTCATGTTCCTCTGAGTATTTGTCCTTTTTAAATTAGATCTATGTTCTCTTCAAAATGCCATCTGACCTCATAATAATTCTTGTCATCATCCAAGCAGCCACATTTATCCAGAGGAACACACTTTCGTCCCTTGAAGACAAATCCAGGTTTGCAGAAGCATCCACTGATGCAGGAGCCAGAACAGTTGGTGGAAGGTTCCATGCATGTAGGGATACAAGCTGGACCACAATCTATGTACTCTGCATTAGGTGGACACGGTTCTGTTCACAGAAACAGGAAAACAGCAGATGAAATCTTTTGCATTGAGAATGTAGATGTGTAAAATCATTTTTGCGAAAATATTCAGATATGTGTCATACGATGTGGTGTAGTTGGTCCTTGGGTTGGTGGTTTTGGTGTATTTGGTCCTTGGGTTGATGGTTTTGGTGTAGGTGGTCCTTGGGTTGGTGGTTTTGGTGTATTTGGTCCTTGGGTTGATGGTTTTGGTGTAGGTGGTCCTTGGGTTGGTGGTTTTGGTGTATTTGGTCCTTGGGTCGTTGGTTTTGGTGTAGTTGGTCCTTGGGTTGGTGGTTTTGGTGTATTTGGTCCTTGGGTTGGTGGTTTTGGTGTAGGTGGTCCTTGGGTCGGTGGTTTCGGTGTATTTGGTCCTTGGGTCGTTGGTTTTGGTGTAGTTGGTCCTTGGGTTGGTGGTTTTGGTGTAGTTGGCAGGGCTAAATATAAGAAAAGGGAGTTTCTTTTTATAAATTAATTGTATTGTTTCAATTTCCTATTACGCAAAAATCTTTCATGTACATTTAGGAAATAATTTTTGAAAACCCTCAATCTATATTTTTATAAGGTTTTACTGTCTCTAGTGGCCTCCATCTGACAGTGAACCAACAGGAAAGAAGTAACTGAGACTGTGGGAGGACATGCAGAGAGGCATCAGGCTGGGACTCAAACCCTCAATGTCCGGACTAAGGCCTCCTCACGTGGGTCATCCCAAACTCTTGTGCCACCACAGCACCTCCAAACCGTTTTATAAGTAAAGCAAACAGCAACACATTGTCACCATTATGACAACTAACAAGGTCAGCAAAAAGTGTTAATCAAGAGGAAAAATAGCAATGGAGAAGCTTTCACAACAGTAATATGCATATTTTGTGTTGATTTCGGTATCACATATGCCAAAATGATATATGACAACCTGCACACCAATTCTGACAGATCATCAGTAGAGCAGGTTTTTAAATGAGGTAATCAACCTATGCAGTGTTATATTAGCTAATAGCAGCGGTAGCTAATCTCCCATGTCTGTCACTCATTAAAAATGGCAAAATACACATTAAGCCTAAAAACATAATAGTGTCATGGCCTGAATGTTATGGTCTTTGCGTGGGAAATGTTTTTGCTGTTGAATCCTGATACATGAAAGTGGTATTGTTATCAGTTGCCATGACAACAAGTCTGAGCTTTTCTTGTACACTTGTGGATCATATTGCACATATACAAATCTCATTGTACGCTTTGTGAATCTTTATGAGGCTAATTTATCTCCATAAATTTCTTACCGGTGCAGGACTTGATGCACACAGCATCAACAGCAACATCAGTCTCCGGTGTTTCACCATATTTGCCAACAATTACAAACTGAAAAGAAATCAAAACAAGAAATCTTACACACTTCCTTATGTGGCAGGGTTTTTTTAAATTTTTTTTTTTTACGTAATTCAGATTGAGCAAAACGCTTTAAAATGGGTTTCCTATCCAGTCATAATTCCACATAAAGATCTTTTGTTTTTATTTGCACATGGTGTAACGTATTGTGTTAAATTGTTATGTTCAATTGTTGGGGCAGTACTTCTGTCATTATCCAGGTTTTTAAAGCTAGCAGGCTGATTCAGGGTCCTCATCACACACATACAAGAATAAAGAACATATTACTTCCATGAATTTACCTGAATGTTCCCAGTTCCCTCCAGGCGGACCACTGCAGGTTTCCAGCCCTTACCCTGGTTACCAGTGACAGTAAATAATGGGTCTCCGAGGCTTCCACCTGCTAAAGAAATAAATAGGAAACAAACCAAGTGAGTATGGCAAAGTTGTAATTGTAACATTAGATGAATCTATGATTTTACCTGTGATGGCATGGACTCTGATTTCCATGGTGGTGCTGGTACCAAACAGGTAGTAATGAAAGCTGAGTTCCAAACATCCGGAGGTGGATGGTATCATAGGACTCCTGAGTTGAGAACTCTTTCCAGAGACAGCGTCCAAAGAATCCAACAACATGTATTGTCCAACTGCACACATATACAAACAATTTGGAAATTTTACATTGACTCTTGGAATTTCGTTTTAAATTTTTACATAAAGACTTAAGACTTCCATTTGTAATGACTAATTGTAACACAAGTTGTCTTTTTGGTAAGAACTACGCAAAACACCTTTTTATTCATTTAGCATAAATTTTTGTGACACAATGATTGAAAACCAGACACAAAGTCTCCTTACATCCAGGTCTTGAGAAGTCGTCGTCAGGTCCGGTGCCCTCTGTCTCTGTTTGCCCAGCATATTGGAGAAAACCAAACTCGAGTTCGTCATCGTGAACCGTCCATCCACACAGATCCTCCGTTGTGTCAAAGTCACATTCAGAGACACAAGCTGTAGAGAAAACCAAGGGACATTTACCTTTTCAAATATTATTATGGTTAATGTGCTAATCAGGTTTAGGTTAAAAGTTACAGGTGGGTATGGAGTGGTTAGGGATAGGAATCGGCACAAATAGTTTTAGATGGCAATAATTACTGGAAATTAATACAAAAGAAATACAAGCTCAGAACTCACCGGCACATTCTCCCTCAGTAATGACTATGTTGTCCAGAGCAGAGTCACAGGATGGAGTGAGGCCTCTTTGAGCCTCAAACACAATCTGTCCATGGACAAAAAATAACTATCATTGATAACATGTTGTATGTTTCATTGTCTTCTTTACATGCTAGTAGGGTGGTCATAATGTTATGATGAAATTATTTCTGCCTTTTCTAAATGGTATGTAAACTAAGATGTGTAGAAGTAATTTTAAATTAGAATGTCTTTTCTTTTCTTTCACCTACATGTTTGTCCGAACTAGAAGAGTATCTGTAGTAATCTGGAAACACTCACAGTAACACTCTCACTGGTTGCTTTGGACACCGTGAAAGAATCTTCCAACCAGGCTGGACTCTGAGGGCCTGTCTTTTTCCAGAGCTCGTTGTCACCGGAGGATGTTTTTGACAGAACCTTCAACACGTTGTTTGCGTCGGATCCATACATGTAGTACCAGAACTGAACACAGAGCTTAGATGCCGGTGAGGAGATGACGGGGCTCAGCAGACGAACTTTTTGTCCATTGGCCACATTGTCACACTCATGGTAGATATAATACCCCGCTGAAAAACAGAAGCACAAGAGGACAACTTATAGTCTCGTGAAGGTTTCCCCTGGACATTACAGAACTAAGACTGATCATACTCACTTCCATCAGGGTAGTCTCCGCTGGGGCCGGTGCCAGGTGTCGGTGTTGAACCTTTGTGTCGGGTCCAATCACCGTTATCTGAGGTGTCCTGAGTGAAGCTGCAGAAAGGCTCACTATCCTGATTAAAGTTGCATGAGGTAATCACAGCTGTGGAGAGAGATGACAGATTCAAATGGATCCATTTTATTACTAGAGGGCTTATCTAAAGTCATCAGGAAGGAAGGCTTCATGCTGTGATAACTCAAAGCTCCTAATGGGAGAATCTGACTAAAATAACACCACTGATGGACAATGTCTATTCTATTCTATTCTATTCTATTCTATTCTATTCTATTACTGAAGGTCAGTTGATTATTTTGTGTCTGAGGTTCCTTGCAGACTTAAGTTTCACAAAAACTATATATACATCAATCTCTTTTGCACCGAACCAAGAGAGTGCAAAGGATACAAATCAGTTTCTTTGAACTGGATTAAGTGCAGCAAAGAAAATCCAAACAGTATTTTTTCTATGTATTTATTTAATTTGGCTCAATGTTATTAATAAATTTATTTACTATCCCTCTAAAGAGAAGACAGGAACACAGGGCAGAGAAGCATCCACCCACATTCTCACAAACAAGGGCCTTTAGAGCAGACAGTTAAATGCTAAATGGACTTCAATGGAGTCCATTTCACTCTTGGCACCATTCATCAAGCCGTTCTGAAAAACCAGCAAATCGGTAGGAAAATTGGGGTTTAGTGCCTTGCCCCTGGGACACCGGCATGTGGCAGGAGGATACTGGATTCAAAGATATGTTTGGATTACAGAACAACCTTTCTGTTCATTGGGCCACATCACGTCTAACTGTATGATTTTGAAGGGTAGGAGAAAGCTGAAGTCCGTAGAGAAACCTCAAGCACGGAGAGGAAAACATTTAGACTCCGGACAGAAAGGCCCTGGTCACGACCGAAACCCAACTACATCAAATCAACAGTTAGAAAAACATGCAAAAAAAATCCACTGTTAAAAATGATTCACGTTTGTCTTGATATGTCTTGAATGTTCGACAAAACAAGGTAGGGTGAAAATGTTGAAGATAAGAAGCAGTAAATAGATAAAGCCTAAGATATTCCCAAGGACACTGAGGTGCTGCAGATGCAAAGTACCACAAGCTGCGACACATATCAGTGGTCATTTATTATGAAAAATGAAAAGGTACAATAGGAAAACCTTTTACTTTTGACAAGTTAAAACACGTAAGAAACAACAGGAAAATCAAATGCCACATACCTTCTCTCTGGTTTCTCTGCAGACTGTGAAAGAAAGAAGGAATAAAGAATCATTTCAATTTAAAGTCTTAAATATTTTTATGGATTTTCAGTGTTTTTCTAGGAATCAGCAGAGTCTGTTGGGTAAGAAAATGTCCCTGAGCTGGAAACAATCCCACACTATAAAACATTTGAGCTGCATTTAGTTGTGTCCACTATCTTCTTCTCTTCAAGTAAATAAATGTAGTGAGTTTTAGATTTTAGATTTAACAATTCTATCTGGCAAAAAAATTAAAAATAAGAAAATAAAAATGGCTGAAGTCAAATCCTAAAGGTCACTGCACCATATAAACAAATATAAATAATATAAATATTATTAAATCACCCCTCCAAAGGAGTTGAAAAACTGAATTATAGACCAAGCATTACAAGATTTGGGAAAACAAAATAATGAAATATCTTTTCAAAAATGGCATTTATTAGGCAATAAATATTATTACAATAATTATTACATGTGGTTACTTCTGAAAATGTGATGATTCATATTTTTGATGATGATAACTAACCTTCGCTGTGCCTTTCGTGCTGTGCATCCACACACTGATAAGAGCAAAACCAGTAACTTGAATCTTTCCATGATGACCAGCATAAGAAGACAGTGTCTGATGGGGGGACTATATATAGTGGATGAGAGAGTGTAAACCAACACGTGGAACACAGTATAGCTGGGTGGTGCAGAGGCTGAATAACTGTACATGATGTTGCAAAATGGGTAAATAAGTAACTGTGAGTGATAGGGGAAGGGTGTGTTCCCTTTGGGTTTGAATTTGGGTGTGAGTCAGTGTGTTTACTTGATGACCTTGCTGAATGTTCAGGAGCAGGGTGGGGATGCCCATCAAGTGCTATTCACAATAAGAATGTGTACTGTAAAAGTTCTGATTGTGTAATAAAAAGGATACTTTGATCCCAGGAACACCTTTTTCCTGTCTGAAAATTTTTATTTCTCGGTACATAATGCAAGATTTAACTGCGCTGATATTTTTTATGCCTGTCAAAATAAATATTTTATTTTATTTTATTTTACAGCTGAAATATAATTCTTTTACTATTCTATTCTTCTTAACTGGCATAATATAGATTGGGACAAAGAATGAAGCATAAATGAGGATTAGATGGAGCTACTCTGAATTTCTATCACTGATCCCAGTGGAATATTGAGAGAAGACCAGGAACACTTTCAGGTACACAGCTTAAACCCTTACAGAACCAGCTTCATAGGGAGCAGGCGATCAATGAGGAGCAGGCGATCAATGAGTAACGGCGTGGTTTCATGCTGAAAGAGAGCTGCAGAACTGATGTTTGTTATCAGGTCGTTGATGGAGAACTACAGAGAAACAGAAGTGTCTCTGTGGATCAAGGGATAATGAAGAGAAGCCGACACAGGAACAATGCTACTGGCTGACAGAAAGCATCTGAGGGTCCTGTAGGTTCTCCACAAGGACAGAGAGACAGTGAGGTGTGTGAGAGATCTGTTCAAGGTGCAACTGCCTACTGTCATACTCAATAAATCAAAACATACGCAGGTGGTCTGACAATAGAAAAATCCTTTTCATGCTCTCCTTTTTTTAATGGGCCCGTATATCAAGGATCAGATAATTAAGATGTTCAGCAAGAGGTTTCCAGGTAGGAGGAAATTAGAAAAACTACACAAAAAAATTAATGGACACCATGAAGGAGGAAGATAAAGACGGATAATGTGACAGAGGAAGAAGGGTGAGATGACGCATTATGGTGACGCCGAAGGGCCACAGTACCTCATTTTCATCACATTGAATGTAATACTGATTTTTGAGTTAAGTTACATTGATACAACCATTGTACATGAAAGCAACTTACCAAACTATTATCATTGTAAAAATGTCAAATTGAAACTGATATTGATTTAAACAATTTCAAAGAAATCATTCATCATATGCTAATCAATTTCTGATGCTCAAGTTAGGGAAGAGTAACAAAGCGTGTAACTTCCTGAAACACAGACAGGAGCTACAACCAGCGGTGCCGTGGAAACGATGGTCTGTTTGGCCAATTTACTCCAGATAGATTTCAAAATCTCCTTTTTCACATTCACAAAATCATTCCATTTCCAGGAGCCATAAACTGTTGAGAAACTGTGTTCGTTCTGTTTTGGTCCAACTGATGATGATAGTTTTCCGAAGTTTGTTGTTGTTATTAATATTTATTTATTTATTTATTTATTTATTTATTTTTGTCATTCCGTTTTAATTTTTTGAGTTTCCAGATTTCAGATAGAAAGTTTTGACATCCCACCCGTTTGCTTCATTTTGTCTGGGCATACTTCAGAATTTTTATGGCACTAAGTTGGCAGCAGCTGCCATGTTTTACCACAATGTAATGTTCTTGAATTTACTGCTGCTGTTAAACAAGACAGCTATTTTGAAATTAGTTCAGTTCTTCCACCTCAGGATGCTTCACCCGCCTTGTCTGCTGGTGGAGGTCAGAGGTCAAGGTGTCACCAGTCTGACAGAAGCCTCACTTCTGTCAGACTACCCAGTAGCTTGCCACTGGATAGTGTATGCTAGAATGGCTTACTTCAGTGAAAAGTGTTGATAAAGTGCTATGTAATAGAGTAATTAGGCACTCATTACTCTTTTTGATATTCATAGCTATGCATAACAGACATTTTGAAAGTGACTCAATAATATTGCTGATCATTTAGTAATTCCTAATTAGCCAACCTAAAAATAGTCCTAGATTTATTCTTTTGTTTTACAAGGTCAATAAGTTTAGCTTTTTAATTTAGTAAAATGCGGCATAGTGCTTCATTAGCTATATAACACAGTGGATGTAGCTGAAATGAAAGACCTTGGAGTCAAAGATTAAAAGCTTTTCACTGCCTTGGCAGGATTTTCTATTCTTTTATGGGTTGAATGTGGCTACCTGCCCACCAAAGCAATACTTTCAGGGGAATGTGAACACGGTGGATCCCAGCGGTTCATCAGTCGCTTCCTTTGTTTCAGCTTAACAAAACCTTAAAGTGGAATACGTTCATGTCCGGCAGGTTTTCATTCACCTGATCACTGCTTTATGTTGGATCCATGCGTTATCATTTTCAACATCTTTGTTGTTGTGTTTCGCTCATGCAAATTGTGATCAACTCTTGGTTCCCACAGCAACAGGACTGATTTCATTTTCCACCTACACTTTGAACTCTAGGACACTCCATCAGCGGTGAAACCTATACTGCTCTGCTTATCTGGAAACAACAGCGCTAGGCTGAAAGAACCGCCATTTATAACAGACTAAAAAAGAAAGACAGTGTTAGGATGTTGGGTTTTTTCATTCAAGTTTCATTATTATTGTGTTCCTTAGTTTTTTTAATTGGATTACATCAGCCTTGTTTCTGTTTTACTTTAGTTCAGTCCTTTTTCAGTGGTTCTACTTTATCTATTCTGTTATCCTTAGATTTATTTTCCTAGCTCCTCTGTTTTGTGTGCTCTCACTCGCTCCTTGTGCCATTTTCATTCTCTCTCCGCTCACACCTGCAGCCTGTTTGTCAGTCCGTCTGGTCTAATGCCAGAACTTTTGAGAAGATCTCATAATCAGCACATAACAGACTGACAGGTCTCTAATTCTTGATTTCATAAATGTTCTCCTTGTTATGAACAACAGTGAGCAGAGCTCTGCAACACTTTCCCCTCACTGCACTGTTACTGAGGACGACCGACACAGAGCAGCGTGATTTAGAAAGTTCCACAGGAAAGCCATCTATCCCTAGAGCTTTGCCACTTTCCGTGCTCTGCAGCGCCTCATGCAGTTCTTGTAAAGTTAGAGAATTTGCCACTTTAAAAAGTACCGAGAAAGTATAACCAAAAAAGCCACATTGTGGCTCCACATGATTCCCAAATCATCAACAAAACAATTCATTTCCCCTCACAGGATTTTATATGATACCTTTAGTATCATATAAAACAAGGTACACTTGGAGTCACAGGAGCATGTATACATTCAGTAAGGCTAACTTTATATTTTCATATTTAATAACCTTTAGTAATCTTCCAGATAATATCTTCAGTTTCAATAGAATCTGTAAGGAAGTTTCTGGAGAAAAGTTTTGCTACTCCTGCACTTTGTGATGTCTTGTGACTAAGAACAAGATCTCCATATGGTTATTTTTTCCATGATCAACTCTGCTGTGGGTTTATTGAGCAAAAGCTGTCAATGCATTTAGATCTTAAGGGATCATAACACACAGCTCCCTGATCACATCCTTTGCACCGTTAAGGTTCGAATCACCTTCAAGCTACTAACAGCCGAGCAAATAAATATCCAAAAAGGAAAAACAGCATCTTATCTGCTGTGTTTTTTTTAGCTTTAGGTAACTCATTTAATTTGAGCTCTGATTTTCTGCATCAATATTTTGAATTCTTCAGTATCCAAGGAGTCATTTCTCTCTGTCACCATTTTGCTGAGTCAACAAACACATATCAGGGAAAGAGTCATCTATAGCCAAATCCCAGTTTACTTTTGTTATTTCTAAAAAAAAACTTCTAATCTCTTCTGGACTGAATCCATTAAGTCTCTGACCATCAGATGCTTTAACTGACTCTCACATTAGAATCAGTAAAAGCATCTGAAGCGTCTGAAGCGTCTTCCCACCCAATAAATCTGCTTCTGCTTGTCATCTGTTGCATTCAGATCGGTAGAATGGCCTTGTTAAAAAAAAAGAACATACATAACGCACAGGGATAAATATGTCCCACAATAAATAAATTCAGAGTTTACATTAGCTTGTTTGTCTAAAAGGAAATAGTTAACTGGAGGGTTATCCCTGAATGATTCAAAGAACAATCTTTTTTTTATTTTTATAAATGACAGATTTCTTAAGCAAACGGTTTCCAAGCAACTTGCTATTTGTCATGTAATTTCACAGTAAAGTTGTGTCTCTTCCTCCTCCACCCATCATCTCAAAATTGTGTGACTATTTTATTTGATGAGATAGAGCAGTTTCAGAGATCAGTGTGTGGGTGTGGTGACTGCAGGTCAGGTCAAGTGGTTTTACAACTATTACCTTTATTATTTTCAGTCGTTCAGTTCAACGGCATGGCAAAAAAATATGGCCCACTAAAACGAGCACAATTACATAATCACAGGTAAAAATGTCCATAATATTCCATACAAATGTAAAATTTCTTCTTCATGAGGTCCTAAAAAGTATATACAATTTCATGTGTAAAACATTATTAAACACTCCATTATTTATCTAGCAAAAGATGTTCTAAGATAATACCTTAGTTCTAAGATGATACCTTCCGACTTGTTAGTAGAAGTCGATCAGCACACTATATGTAACTTTTATTAATATTTGCTCATGCCATCATTCAAAAGTCCAACAAATCAATCAAATTGTGAGGACATTATTTGTCTGCAGTCCTGCAGTAAGCAGTCCTGCTTCTGCTTCTGAATTGTAAACCTTTTGGTTTACAATTCAGTGGTTGTACAAGAATAACTTTTTTTCTATCATGATATTTCTGTGCTGAGAAAATTTGTTAAAATATTAGATGTTTAAAAAAGTATCACCAAAAAAGCCACATTGTGGCTCCACATGATTCCCAAATCATCA